GATGAGACGTCTAAATTCAGTCTGAAAATTTGCTTTGCCCAAGGATGCAACGTCCTAAATTCCTAAACGATGAAAACTTTAGTTATGAATTCATTTTAAAATAACTCTGAACCTCAAAGAATATCAGAATGTGCTTTACCAGTTTCTTAAACGTTGATGACATCACAACAGAAGCACTTGAATCAATCATTTCAAAGGAGACTGAGGTTGACAAAATATTCCCTAATTTTGATAGCATGTATTTTAAAATGATACAATTGTTATTTTAATGATCAAAAGTACCAAAGCTTTCACAAACTGCAGATCTTCACTTATGTTTAAACCACAAGAGAGAGAGAGCACCGTCTACATTGTTCAAATACAAAGGCAACATTTTGGCACCATTTGATAAGTTTATTTGGACAGCAGACATTAGAAGTTGTAGAACTGTACTTTTTATCAAGACTGCTTTTAAAGGAGCAGTATGTAACTCTGACCCCCTGGTGTTTAAAATGGGAACTGCAGTCCAAATTCTAAACATTCTAGAGAGCTGTCTCCCCCCCCTCCTCTCTAGAGTCCATGCTCACAGTCACCATGTGGTGGACACTGAAGCTTCAGTGTTTATCCAGCTCTGCATCGGTCTGTAAACCTTTCTGTGTTCTAACCTCTCTCCATTTTTCAAAAGCATCTCCAATATTGATCCTAGTTTGAGCACGTTTCTGCTCGTGGAGCTTATTAGAAACATGCAGAGGCTTTTTAGGTCGAGTACAATCACTTCTATCTGAACCACTTCTCTTGACCACTTCCATCGCTGCAACACCTGTTGACCTGATAACTGCTCTCATATTTGGTAAACTGAGGGGCGTGCCATGTTTTGTTCTCTAGTCCAAACAAATCCAGAGCATTCAGGACCAGAATCTTTTGTTTGGTGACATTTGTTCCAGAAAAACTAAATTATTTTCTCCTCCCTTGTTTCTGATTTACTTGTTGCAGTAGAGTCGTGCATATGTATCAGACGTTGTGCATAATTTCCTGCAACAGAAGGTCCTGATCGCCACCCTACACACACACACACACACACACACACACACACACCTCCCTTCCCCACCACCATCAGCTCTGCTGCTGACCAGTGACAGACAGGAGAGTGTGTCAGTCCTCAGCTCCTGGACTCACCTGAAGCCGTCTGAGGATCAAATGAATTAGGATTCATTTTGTTGTTTTATTCCCACACAGAGCAGCGTCCTGTGTCTGCAGCTCTGTGTAAGGTCTGTACTAAACTAAGGTTGTGTCGTTGTTTGGTTACCACGGAGACGGACGGTTCATCTTAACGAGTAGAGTGTAACGTCCAAACCAACCAAAACATAATCAGAACAGAAATCAGGTTTGAACTTGACGTGACCAATCAGAGAGCAGCGTTTCTCTCCCTGGTGACACCAAACAGAACTCGCTGCTCCTTCCTCATCCTTTAAGTAGTCACACCTTTCAAAACCATCACCATGACAACCAGAAGTCACACCTACTAGAAGGCAGATTCTAGGTGTCGGATTTAAGCCGGTGAAACACCTTAAAAGTTAGCAGAGGGTAAACTCCGTCCTGAATTAGAAATGAGCTGCACATACACAGAGCTACACACACACACACACACACAGAGCTGCACACACACACACACACACACACACACACACACACACACACACACACACACACACACACACACAGAGCTGCACACACACACACAAGCTGCACACACACACACACACACACACACACAGAGCTGCACACACACACACACACACAGAGCTGCACACACACACACAAAAGTGCAGACACACACACAGAGCTGCAGACACACACACACACACACAGAGCTGCAGACACACACACACACACACACACACACACACACACATACACACACACAGAGCTGCAGACACACACACACACATACACACAGACTCTCTGTCCCTAACCCTTGAAGACGTTCTGATGCCAACAGTTCTCTCTGACTAAATGCTAACTGGATTTGCACAGCAGCGCCTCTTGTCTTTAACGCCACCACGTTAGCGTAGCATCAGTGTAGATCTGTGGTTCTGAATATATCATGCAGTGTTTCCTGAAGAGGATAAGTGTCGCTCTGATAACGGGGTAGTCCTGCTGATTAGCTCGTATTGCTTGTGTTAGCTCCAGCTGATAGCGTTATGCTCCAGTAGCTCCAGAGTGCGGTGCGTCTCCATCCTGCAGTAACTTCATGTTTTTTTAATGTTTGCTTTGTTTTGTTTACGGCCTTCATGATAAAATCCAGTCTGTCTCTCTCTCTCGCTCGTCCGTGAAATGTTTTGCCTCCTTTTTGTTTTTTATAAAAACAAACTTTGTAAGACCCCTAAGACTTTCAGCATCAGTCCGATCCGTTTTTTTGGACACTTTGAAAAAAACCTTATTGTAAATTCTTGGCTCGTTTTTGCCATTTCTGCTGCTCATATCTGCACTATGATTTCCTTCTGTTGTTGTTTTTGTTTTGTTTTGCCTTACTAAACTGTGTGTGATTGGCTGGTGGCTGCTTCTTTAAAATCACAAACTGTCTCCCGCCTCATCTCGGGGGCGTTCATGTGTTGAATGCCAAAAAGTCCTTCTGGCTTTAAAAGCTGTACAGGTGTCCTTACGTGTGTGTGTGTGTGTGTGTGTGTGTGTGTGTGTGTGTGTGTGTGTGTGTGTGTGTGTGTGTGTGTGTGTGTGTGTGTGTGTGTGTGTGTGTGTGTGTGTGTGTGTGTGTGTGTGTGTGTGTGTGTGTGTGTGTGTGTGTGTGTGTGTGTGTGTGTGTGTGTGTGTGTGTGTGTGTGTGTGTGTGTGTCTGTGTGTGTGTGTGTGTGAACAGATGACACTATCTTTGTTCTAAGACGGATTAAAGAGTGGTGACTAGTATGTTAATGTCATCAGAACATGTCATATTCATTTGATTAAAAATACACGACTCACTCTGTTTCTGTCGAGCGACCAAACATTTATTATGTTGTTGTTGTTTTTAAAAAAAAAATGTATTATTATTTTTTGGGCTTTTTGTGCCTTTAATGGAGAGAGATAGGACAGTGGATAGAGTCAGAAATCAGAGAGAGAGAGTGGGGAATGACATGCGGGAAGAAGACACAGGTCGGATTCGAACCCGGGCCACCCGCCTGGAGGACCACAGCCTCTATACACCACCAACGCCCGACCTTGTGTGACAGTGACCCAGGTCCACGCCGCTCTATGACCACGAGAATGGCGTTTCAGCTAGAATGGCCTTTCGCCACTAGAGCTCAAAAAAGTGATCTGAGCTTTTCTCCTATTGGACACGCAGAGGTGACATCACGTAGCGAAGTGCTCAAATTAAGAATTGTTCATTTCAGTGCAGCGTGCAAGAAGGGCAAGCAGGACTTTGCACTGCGCTCAGCTCGGCGGGGGCTCGTCAACACATAGACAACAAATGGACTCGACATGCGGCAAGCAGCGAGCGCCCACCACGTCTTTTCTGACAGGCCCTACAGACTTCAAAGGTTACCCTGGTGTTTTACATCAACAGATCAATGAACAGCAGCACGAGACTTCACACGAAAAGATTTCAAATCTTAACCGAGGAGGACAGATTCAACTGATTTTTTACTTTATCATCCTCACCCAGACCGCGAGACCACACCTGCTTAAGGAGAAAAACAAACATGGAGGACGATGGACGTTGTCAGCTGGTAGAACAAGAATATGGCTGAGAAGACGGTGTAGGTGCTTTATGATTGCTGCTGTAAAAGTACACATCTGACTGGTGATGCTTCCCGGTCTGCTCGCTCTCATTGGCTGTTGCTGGTATTCCGTCGGAGGCTGCCTGACCTGGACATATCAAACATGTCTGTTATTTATGATTCCAGATCGGGGAAGCTCTGACTCCCATCAGGAGCGATGTCACCCGTCTGTTCCTGCAGGGGGCGCTGGTGGTCTCCATGCTGGAAATGCTCTCTCAGTCTAACTTTCAGTCAACCTAACAACAGACTGAGAGCTGGAGCTGAGGCGGGTTTTAAGCCTCCTGACAAACCGTTACATCTCGCCCACCTGTCAATCATGTCAGCTACACGCCTTATTGTGAATAACTCTTATCCTTCATCAAATCAAAACTGATGAGTCATCAAAACATTCACCCCCCCCGTACAGTGTGTGTCGATCGAGACATGAGCTAATCAGACCTGTTTGTTTTTTGAACCAGGCTGTAAACATGTTAATCTCTGCTGTAAAAACAGGCTTTTTAGAATGGGTGTGTATGTGACTTCCTGTGCTTCTGCAGCCAGCCTCTAGTGGACACTCAAGGAACTGCAGGATTTTACACTTCAACATCAGCTCGGCTGCACTGGCTGTGGATTGGATGATGGAGGATGATGTTGAGGTTTGAGAGGTCAGAGTCAGTGTTGCTTTATTGCAGGTTTATAAAACATTATGAATGAAACATGTTGGATCATGAACACAGAAACAAAGACGACAGTGACGCTGTGCAGCAGAGACCTACACTCTGACTCAGAGTTCACATTTGTTTAAAAAAAGACTTAAAAGAGTGCATCATGTTGGTCACACTACAGTGTGTTACAGGATATGTTGTTTTTCCCTCAATCTACAATCAAGGATAGCTTCTTCTTTTTTTTATCTTCTCAGTATTTATTTTATCTTTACATTCAAAACATCTGCTCCCGGGACGCTCAGCAGAGGAGGTTCGTTGACACCCCGGCTGCAACAGATCGGAGTGAAGCTGCTACCGGAGAGGCGGAGACGAACACGAGCAGAGACTCCCTTTGTGAAGCACTAACAGTAAAACACTCAAAATCCTGCAGAAGTTCAGACACAGAATAAACATAAATATACAAACTGTACAGGCGGTAACGGAGAAACAGCTGTGCAAACATCAGGCTGCTCTGAGAACGAGGAAACAAAAAGCGTCAACAATCGTCAAATATAAACATCGAGCACAGAGAAGATTCATCTCTCTCTCTCTCATTTCTTCATTTAAATATGTTTGAGTTCTCTGAACATAGATGCACTTTACTGTTTATATTAACAGCCGTGTTTTTAAGAAGCACTTTTTTTTGTACTTGTGCTCTTGTCGTGCATATTAAAAAAGAATGAGTCAATTTAGTCAAATTGCTGTCGTGTGTTTGCAGTGAAACATTATTTCACCAACAAAATGCACAAAAGTAGAAAGATAACACGTGCTGGTCCTGTTGAGCATTTTTCAAATCAGTCCAAAAGTCAGACACTTCTCAGAGTCAGCCTCTAGTGGCCTGTAGAGGAGCTGCAGCTTGTTAGTCTTGTGTTGGTTTGACTATTTCTACAGAGTTGCACCAACATCTTCTGACAGTGGAAACACTTCCAGCCAGTTTCTCTTGATTGTCTGTGCAGTGAGTCTTGAGATGAAGCCCTATAAATGTCCTGAAGTCCAGATTATAAAAAAAACTGCAATAGGCAAGATACAGCATTTAGACTTTCAGAGTTGATTGTCTTAGTGTCATGTCAGAGAGTTTCTGCAGTGCAAACAATTTGATTTCCTCAGTTGAAGCACCTACATGATTATCAGCACATTCACAGCAGCAGTGGGCCTGCTGTACCTAATGACTGCCAGCAGGGGGGGCTCTATCCTGCGTCTCGTACTTCCTTCAGTGGAGCCCAGGTGTACAGAGGATGTGAAGGTGTCACTGTGAGTCTGGTGCAGCGTGCCGCAGCACTCACATCCTCTCTGAGAGTCCCTCATGTGTCAGTCTGTGTTTCAGATGAGTCTCTCCTCGGGGGGGACCTTCAGCATGCTGTCCATCTCCAGCCGAGCCCCCGCCAGCTCCTGCGTGCTGGGGCTGTACGCACCCTCAGATTGACGCTTCTTCCTCGCTGTTAGCACCATGAAGGTCAGGCCAATGATGAGGATGAGCACGCAGCAGCAGAGCAGCGGGATGGCCACCAGCAGCCAGGGGACGCCCTGATAGTGGGCCTGTTTCTGCACACACACACACACACAGAAGGCAGAGGATGGTGTTGGTGGTTTGAAACAGTTTTCTTTATTCCGTTCAGTTTAAAAGAAGAAAACAAGCAGATATACATACGTTGGTGTCACAGATTGGACCGCTGTAACCGGGCAGACATTCACACACGAACATGTTGAATCGATCCAAACAGGAGCCGCCGTTTCTGCACGGGTTGGACTCGCACTCATCGATCTCCAGCTCACACCTGGAACATGGAAAACAGATCCCGTTTTAAAGGTTTCTGCCACAGGATGAGAACACCACTCGAGGCTCTAATCCATTAACTGTTCCAGCCTTACCTTTATCAGGTGATTAGAGACTTTTGATATATATTATCATTTAGTCATGTTGATTCAATATTTATTAAATATGATTTTGAACATATAATCATCACACATAAACAATAATATGTCCTGTTGTGTCTGCAGATTATCAGTTTCATTTGTCTGTGTACTTTATCATCAATCAGGAAGCTTTTAAATGAAAACAGTTTCTCAGATTTGCGGCATTAGCGTTACTTGAATCTGGAGACCTCCAGCAAGACACAATAACATTTGAGCTTCCCACCCTAAGCGTGACGTCAAGGCAACATGGCTGCCTTGCTGAAACATCCAGTATTGGATTAAAAACCACAGCTCTCTAAACTGAGCTCACCTGCTTCCAGTAAAACCGGGCATGCAGGTGCAGTTTGCCCCCCACAGCCCGTCAGTGCAGATCCCATCGTTTGCACACTGGACGTCTTCACCGCACTGAAGCGGAGGATAGCTCCACCTGGTGGAGAGAGGAGATCAGACTCGTGTTTAATGAATGATTTAACACTGTTGTGTGAAGCTACAGAAGCAGTAAATCTGCTGAATGCAAAGAGGGGCTTCTTACTGGCAGCGGGGGCCTCTGTAGTCCTGGGGGCAGGTGCAGGTGTAGGTGTTGGTTCCGTCCTGACAGGTGCCTCCATGTTCACAGGAGTGATGCTCACACTCGTCCACATCCTTCTCGCACAGCGTGCCGTCGTACCCGGGGTGACACCGACATTCAAACCCGGCTAAGTAGTCCTTACAGCTGCCGTGCACGCAGGGCTGAGACGCACACTCATCCACGTCCGTCTCACACTGCTCCCCCCCCCAGCCCAGGTCGCACACACACCTGAACATGTTGAACAGGTCTTCACAGGTGGCCCCGTTCAGACACGGGCCGGATGCACACACAGGAGCGCTGCTGCAGCCCAAGTGGATCTGTGGTTTACCATGAAGGTGGAACTGAGATCTCTGAGGGGGTTTATAATCGTCCACAAAGGGCAGGTAGATCCCGCCCACCCGGACTGCACCCAGACACCCGGTGAAGCTCTCTGCGACCGCCACCATGGCCCCCTTCTCGTTTAGGAACCGCAAACTTCCCGTCCGCTGCGGCAGGCTGCTGGCGTCTGTGATCCCGTCCACCGTGATGACCCACGGAGACGTTTTGCGGCCACGCTCGGCCCGCGAGATGTTCACACGGTGCCAGCTCCCGTCGGCCACCCGCCGCACCCCCGTGAAGGTCAGGGTCTCCACACTGTTCCCCGCGTGGATCTCCACCTGCACCGAAGAGTCCAGCAGACCCACCAGGAGCAGGTCTGACCCAGAGGTCGCTCTGAGGAGGATGGCGTTCTCTGAGCGAGTCCTCAGCTCCACGTAGATGTCAGAGACTGGCTCAGACAGGGAGCCCGCAGCGCTGTAATGAACCGGGTTGTTCTCGAACGTGGCGTTGTACACACCTGAGGGTCGACATGAAATCTTTGTTAGAGAATCAAATTTACCAATATGATAACTGAATTGACATAAAACGTTACTACTGCCCAAAGACTTTTGCATGTTTCTTCATAGCCACCGCTAAACGCCGTTTCCACCAAATGGAATCTGGGCTTAAGTAGTCTGGTTCAGTCCAGTTCGGTTTTGGTTCGGTAAGATGGGTTTGGCATTTCCACCGTCAAAAGTTTGGAATGGTTTCAAAATAACCGATCAGTACCGTCCTACTTTTTTGCTTCCCTTCTGTTTGGGTGCCAAGCGTTCTGATCCGACCCTAAAGGGCGGAGCTAGACACACTGCAGTCCGTTGATTGGTCGAAAGAATCGTCACTTCCTGTGCAACATCAGTAAAAAAAAAGTAAAAACGTCAGCGTGTAGCACGGCAGCATGGACGACCTCGGGGGTGAAAACCTTCCCAGGGATCATTGATCTTTGTTTACTGTGTTGCGTGTTCTTCTTCTTCATTGACTTTAACCTCACAATTATTTAAACTGCACCTTTAATATTTGCACTGACTGTTATTTAATGTCTGTTTCTTTTTCTTCTTTTTAAACATTGCTGTACATATATAAACAACACAGTTCAACACTTTTTTTATATATTCAGATCTAATTACAGATTTCTTTCCTCACCTGTTTATAGGTTTTTGTTTAAATTTCACATATATTTTTATCCCTGCATGGGTTATTCACATTTCTTGTATAAGTCTATTTTCAATTGCACAGTTTAAGTTCGATTCATCTAGGGGTATTCTTTAAATCTTTTTTTCAGGTTAATATATATGTATGGGGGAGGGGGGCGTCGGTTTTGTGGTTAATTTGTAACAAATGTTTCATGTCATGTATGTCTTAGTAACCTGCTACTGGATGCTTTGAATTTCCCTCTGGATCAATAAAGTATCTATCTATCTATCTTATTGGCGGCCTACACTGTGTCCCGCTATTACCTAGATGACACAGCAAACGCCATCTGACTTACATCCCACATGGGTACAGTTGGCTGTGGAAGTATAAATCAGAATTTACTGAACCAAACTGTACCGCTTGGTGGAAACAGGCTTTATAAATTTTTCAGATATTCTTACACTCGTATCCATCGTGAAGGTCCACACAGTGTCCTCCGTTCACACACGGACCGCTCACACACCACACGCGTGTTTCACAAGTCTTTCCCCTGAACTCCTCCGGACACGTGCATGTGAAGTCGTTAAATGTGATGACGCACTCTCCTCCGTGATGACAAGGTGTCTCCTGCAGAGCAACAAGAGTTTATTTAAAGCAAAGCAGTCGAAGCAAAATCAGAAAAATTAATCTCTAAACAAACTTTATATGTTGGAGAGAAGAAGCTGAAAACATGAGAAGACGAGCTAGCTAACTTACTATGACCAAACCGGCTAACACAGTTATTGTGAGACTTAAACATTGAAGCAGATTACACTCCGCACCTTGCAGGTGTCATCACTGATGCATCCCGTCTTCACGTTCTCAGCATCACTCGGCAAATACACCTCCTCCTCCTCTGAGCTGTTCCAGGCGTCCACGTCCAGGTGCACCGAGTCCAGACGCAGGTCCTGCAGGCACCCTTTGTAATGCCCCCCCCAGGTATCAGAGTCCAGGTCTGCCGGTAGTCCTCCTACATAGACCTGATCCCCGGTGTGCACCTCCACCTCAGGGATCTCCCCAATGCCGTACCTGAGCCCTGCGTGTTCAAAGATCACCTGTCTCTGTCTGACCTCCACCTGCAGCATTGTCTTCTCCCCGCTGCTCACAAACACCGGAGCTGTGAGGGGCGAGCTGTTAGGAAGCGAGCTGACCAACACCCTGCCCATCCCCAGGTATATAGAGAAGAACGCCTGCCCTTCCTCCTCCGAGGACCTCCTCATCTGGAACAGGAGCCCCTCCGTCTTTAAAGTCCTCAGGAAGAAGGAGACGTTGAAGCTGCTGCCGTGATTCTTTGACACGTCGTAGGAGCTGAAACTCTTCGTGTCCTCGTGGCTGTACGTCCATGAAGGAAACTCTGTCAGGGAGGAGGTCAGAGGTTTGGATTAATCACATGACAAGTAGGACTACAACATTTAGTGTAGATTTCTAGACCTCATCTAGGTTTTTCTTCTCATGTATTGTGGATTTATGTAGATTCCTATCAGTGCTGCAGCTCGTCCTTTCTGACATGTTGTTCTCATATTTTTATCAGATTTATATATTTTCACTACATGTCATTTTAAAATGAAACTTTAGGTATTGAGAGACGTGAGTGAGGTTGTACTGAAAGCATTCATCACCGTTAATCATATAACATATACTACATACACTATTCAACAATTCTGGTCAAAATGTATAACTTTAAATCTAAATTCATCCCATGTTTATAAGCTGGTGTCCCACAGAGATCTTTACTGGGCCCCATTTAGTTCAATATGAACATCAATTATCTGCCCGCTGATTTTCGCCCACTAAACCTGTGCAGAAGAGTAAAAAAGGTTCTGATTCACCAAACACATTCAGAGGATTTATCATATCATAACTGCGCTGCAGAGCAAACTGCATCTGTATGCTGTCTAACTTCCAACTAGTGATCTGGAAAACGATTCCACATCTGCATTACTTCAAAATAAAAGATCTGTAGATCAAGTTTTTATTACTTTGAAATTACTATTTTTAATACAACGAGGGGTGAAATCTGTGCAGAGCAATGTAGCTGGACAGGAACACAACTAAAGAGCTTTTATTGATGTTGCTTTTTCTTGTAAAAACAGATATATTTTTGATCAAAATCAAGGCATTAGTTTCTGTTGCACAATCCATATTGCACATGCCATGATTTAGTTTGAGGGCTTTAGTATTTTTGGAGTTTTGAAAAAAGTTTTAAATATCAACTCAGAAGTTTAGTCCTCCGACTTTGAATATAGCTATAACGAGAATGCATGACTTTAACAGTTACTGCTACAGTACATACAGCACACAAATTTGATCTGACAACCTGCTTCAAACTAATAACTCAGAGAAGTATTCATAAAGTTGTCTGAACTGGTGTGAACAGTTCTTACCTTGGATGCAGCTCTCACTGTGAAACGGTCTGTAGCAGTCACACTGGTAGCTGGTCCACAGGTCAACACAGAGTCCATGTCCACTGCAGGGGTCTGGCTCGCACCACTCTGTCTTACTGCAGCCGAGCTCGTGGCCGTGGTCCTCGGGGAGGTTTTGAGGCAGTATGGGCTTGGAGTCGATCATCAGGTCCTCCATACACCCGATGAAACCTCTAGAGCTCACAGAGTTCTCTAAAAGCTCCTCTGGCGCTCCACCCACATACACCTGAGAGAAGGCCTCAGAGGGCTGGAAGGGGGGTTCATCAGCACCTCCATCTGTGACCCGGCACCCGTCCCTGTCACAGCCAGGACCTTTCAGAACCAGAACCAGACTGCCCTCATCCAAAAACACATGAGCTTCCCTCCAGTCTCCGTCACTGACCAGACCAGGAAATGACACGTCCAGGTCAGTGTCCTCAGAGGATGCTCTAGCACGTAGACCCCCGTCCACGATCTCCAGCAGGAGGTGTGTGTCCTCATCTCCTCTGAAGACGAGCAGCATGTCGGGGAGGGTAGTCCTGAACCTGAGCTGGACCCCATAACCATGGTGACCCTGGTGCTCCACCTCCCTGCGCCTCCGCTCCTCCAGCACCACCTGGATGTGGACAAACCCAGGTGAGGAGAAAGAGAAGGTGGTTCTGGTGGAGCACTGGTCGTCATAGTAACCGTGGTGACACAAACAGGTGTGGACATGTTCTCCGTCCTCCAGCCTGGGTAAGCAGGTGGCTCCGTTCTGACACTCGTGGTCCACACAGCCGGACAGTTTCAGCTCGCAGTGGTCGCCCCCCCAGGGGAGCTCACCTGGCTCCGCCTCCGGGCAGTGACAGGTGTAGGAGGCTCTGCCGTCCTCACACCAGCCTCCGTTCTGACAGGGCTGACTCTCACACTCATCGATGTTCACCTCACACAGCTCACCTGGAGGAACACAAAGACGGCCAGGGTTCAAAAAAGGAAAAAAAAGGCAGGACTGAACAACATTTTGTTTTCATCATTGAGGCTGCCATGTGTGCATGCAAAATAATCACATCCAAACTATGTCAGTCAGCCGCTTTTGTGTTGCTTGATGCAAACCAAAACTGACAGTTTTCTCCTTTCCATGACTACTCTCCAATAAAACTTCAATAACCACTCTCCAGCTACACCTGCAGCTCACATGGAGCTTCTCATGTAGACCAAATGTAATTGTAAACATCTAGAAATGGTTGATGATGTTTAAGTATCACAACAGCAAGAACCACGTTTATTTGTAAAGATGATAAAGAAACATTGCTCCACCTCTTCTCTGTCCACCTTTCCACCTGCTGCTCCTTCTTATCTACACATCAGTGTTGCAACTGATTAAAACGTAATTGATTGTAAATGACATTGATTTTTATCTATTTGTTTTAAGTTTTTTTGGTGGCTTTTTGTGCCTTTGATATAGAGATAGGACAGTGGATAGAGTCGGAAATCAGGGAGAGAAAGAGTAGGTAATGACATGCGGGAAATGAGCCACAGGTCGGATTCGAACCTGGGCCGCCTGCTTGGAGGACTTCAATCAGGACTCACCTAGGAATCCCTCTGAGCATGTGCAGGTGTACCCGTTGATTTTGTCTTCACAGGTTCCTCCGTTCTGACAGGGTTCAGACTCACACTCATCGATGTTGACCGAACAGTTCTCTCCTGGAACGCAAGAGAAGTTAAATAACTTTCTAAACATTTTTAAAATACAGGAGGATTGTTTTGCTGCTCTGACCTGCAAAGCCCGGCTGACACTGGCAGATGTATCCGGCAGCGTCTGAGAAGCTCAGCTCCCAGTCCAGCTCCCAGTGAGACGGATCTGAGCGCTCGAAACACTCCCCGTCGTTCTCACAGGGCCGCTCAGCACACTCGTCTATATCCACCTCACAGTTTGGTCCTTCGTAACCTGAAGAAAAACCAAACCGGTCATGAATGTTTATCCATGTTACACCCATGAAAGGGCTCTGCATATCTTGGATTAGTTTCACTTTGTAAGAAGTGTTTCCCAACGTAGAACAAATTACCATTAAACCAAACACCATGCTGACTCCATGCTGGTACAATAATAATGAATAACTTTCATGGCAGAGCATTTTCTTAAAGAGCAAAGTGGTACATGATGATGTTATTAGCATGCTATAACATTGGCAGTGTCAGTTGGTCCTCCACTTAAAACCAGACAGAGATATTTCAATAATTATTAGAGGGATTGTCATTAGATGTTGTTCAGACCCTCGTAGTTCACAGGTGATGAAACGTGCTGTCTTTGGGCACTTTTTCCCGGTTTAGCATCAACGGCATGTTTGGTTCTCAGATCTCAATTACTATTGCTTGAATATCCCTAAAAATTGGTACACCCATTCATTTTTCATTGAGGATGAAGTCTAAAGATTTTGGGGACCCACTGACTTTTATTTTAGTGCCACCCTCAGGTGAATGTTCAGTTTGCCCAACATTTTTTGACCTATAAACATAACTACTCCCCCAAAAGGATTTCCCTCGATGTTTAATGATGCTTAATGATGATTAATCAGCAACTGTTAACCAGCTAAAATTCTTATTTTTTAATGATTAACATTGTAAATACTATCAGCCTAGTCCTGGTCCTGGTTTGAGGGGCCCCTGTGAAATTTTGGCCCCATCAGACTCTAGTATCCGAGGGGTTGGTGTGAAAGTTCTGATGCAAGGCTTAATACTAGCCACTACTATAGCAGTGAATGAGTGCAGCACTTCACTTCTTCTTTCAGAAGACATTTAAAAAGGTATTGTCGTACTCAACGTTTGAGCTGCAGGTGAGATGATTTAAGTACTCTGGGCTCAGAGCCGCAAAGAAAGCAGCATCGTCTCAGTGAAAAACCTCGGCCTGTTTCTCCTGTTGCACAAATGTTGATGTGTAACCTGCAGTTCATTACCTGGCCAGCAGAGGCAGGCGTATCCGTTGACTCCCTCCACACATGTGGCCCCGTGCTGACAGGGATCGGAAGCACACTCAGGGATGTCCAGCTCACAGTGGTCGCCCTCAAATCCGGTTTCACTGCAGTCACATTCATAGCTGCAACACACAAATGCATTTCAATACACAAGCGTCGCTCAGGATCAGGTAGTCTGTCCCTGGTTTTATCCAGGTACAACCTCCAGTTTGTGTCGTTAAACTCTGAGCAGCATTTAGATCACTTTGATCCATAAAACTCAGGATCATCTTGACCCCAGCAACAAAACAACATTTTTACAAAGTAGTTGATATTTTAACACATTCTTTAAATATGTGCTTTGCTTTAGGGAGAAAGGGGACTAAGTTTAATATATTTAAATAATGAAGGGTTTTGTCCACTTAAATACTTCTCAAAATGAATCATCATCAAACATTAAATATCTCATTAAAAGCAGCAGTGAGGATCTTTCAGTTTGTGTGGATTTTGGCGCCCCCTGTGGACAAAGTATGTAGTGTGAAGTCCATTGAAAGGAGACCTATCATCCTCACTTTCACCATTAATGATGTCAGTCTGGGTCACCTGTTGAGGACGGCTGTGAGATGTGTAATTCAAAAACCTCCTTATGTTTTGAATTCAGACTGCAGTACCCATTTTAAACGCTAGGTGGCAGAGTTACATATTGCTCCTTTAAAGATACAAGTAATATGCAAATGAAACGATTTTCTTTAATTTTTGAAGTCATAAACTTAAGTCAAAGTGTGTCCTCTTACGTCTCTCCTTTGTTGTTTAATCATTATGAGACCTCTGTGATGTTTATCAACAACCTGCCAAGGGGCTATAATCTGGCATATTTACATGTTTTATGTTCATTAGTGTGCACTGTCCCTATTTAAATAAATAAATAGTCACAGTATCCTGGTATTCCCAGTATTCCCAGTATTCCCTCCTGCAGCGGTCTGGTTTTGCTCTGAAGGTGAATCTTAATGTCAGTCCTTCATGGCGTCTCGTCTCAGTGACGCAGAATAACAACCTTTGTCCGGGTTGTCTCAGGTGAGTCTGGTAGAGGTGGAGTTTTATTACATTATATAAGTTTCAAGGTTCATAAAAGTACTTTAAGATCATTGGCGACTCACCAACATCTTCTGGTCAAATAATGTGCAGATATTCACAATAATAAAAAGCCTTTCTGTTCATGCATTTTCATTCTAAAATAAGAGTTTTCATTGAAATTATGAGAACGACTTAGTGGAGCATTTTTGGAGAATCAAAGAGATAATGTCACTTTTTTATCTTTCATTTAAATCATGTGGAAGAATATGCATTTTATATCTCTGATAAGTTCTCTGATTTAATCTCTGACCACATGAAGTCATAAACTCAAGTCAAACTTTGTCCTCTTACTAATGTCTCTCCTTTGTTGTTTATTCATTATTAGACCTTTGTGATGTCTTATTAGATAATGCAGCGTTTATTTCTTCTTCCAGGCCAACACTTTACCACCAGCGTCTCTTTGAATCCTGTGATCCAACATTTGAGCGTCCTGGTGAGCTGCTGTTCCTCCTCTAATAAATCAGTTCAAAAGTTAAAGTTTACAATAACTGACAGGTGATGTTCATCAGGTCGTTAACCTGTAATAATTAACCCCGTGTTCTCCAGAGCTCATTGGATCTCTGAATCAAACTCTTTCCCTTCTTTGGGACATTTCTCTTCTCCTGTCCGACCTGACTCGGATACATTAGCTCGTCTGTAAACATATTCTCTTCCTCAGGTCTTTTTCTCCTGGTCGTCTTCCTTCCCTAAACGCCTGTTTATTTTAGAGTCTGTCGCAGTGTCCGATATCACTCCCTATTCTAGTCAACTGTGTTAAAGTCACTATAGTGAGTAGAGAGTAGGGAGTGAGTGAGTGATTTCGCACACAGCCGGTGTGTGTGGCCGTGCGTGATGACGGAGGTACGTGCGTGCGCGCTCTGGCCAGAACCGTTCACAGCTTGGTCAGAGGTAGATTAATGATTAATGCTCCGTCTATAAACACATTTAGAAGTATTTTTTAATTGTTTAGATGTAACCAAACGGAGGCATTCAGTTACTGGTCATATTTGGTTCATCCTGTATCAGTTCTGTGGAGTTTTTAATAATATTTATAAAGTTATTAATTCGTTTCTGTATGTTAAGATAGTCGTCTCTCCTAAATGATGCGTTGTTTTCTTCCATCAGGGGAGAAGTTTGGTCCCGGTTCACTCACAACTCATCGATTTCTGTTATTTTTTTTTTTATATAGGTATGGAGAGGGTTTTTTCAAATGTCTTATTAATATATGTAAATTGTTTATTGCTGAAGTTTTCCTTGTACTGTTTGGCCGCTGTGTTTTATATTAAAGCTGCTAATGTGAATTTATATGCTGTACATTCATGCAAAGAAAATGGTTTTCTGGCTTCATATTTATTATTAATTTGCTGTTGAAGTGTATAATTTTTTTAAGTTAGTTTTCAAAATATTTTTCTTGTGTTGTATTTATTATGCATTTATTTATTTTCACTTTTTTGGGATAATAGAAGTTTTTTAATAATTGTGTTTATTTTCAAGTATTGTTGATTTAATTACATAATTTTGAATTAATGTGTAATGTATAAATGTAAATAAGGGGAGAGCCGATAACAGCTTGGTCAGGACGGAAATGTTTGATCCCGGCTCACCACACAACAAATCGATTTCTGTTAATTTTGTCTGTTAATACAGAACCAGAACCCACAAGCTGTCTCCTGAGTCATTACTGCAGACCAGAACACAACACAGAACACACACACGGGTTACACAGGTGATGCCTTCAGGGACCCCTTGGAATTCAAGTGAAAAAGTCTGAAATCAGACGTTCACAGCGGCTGCTGAAGCTACAGATGACAGTGAACCAGTTAACACACTGAGCAGAATGTCTTTAAAGAGACTCCAACAAATGAATGAATGAAAACCTTTATTGCCTCGAGGGGGAAATTTCACCGAGAGCATAAAAACACAATACAGGACAGCACATTAAACTCCAACTCCAAGTTATAGAGAATGTTTCAACAAAAACATCATTACCATGACAACGCAGTCACACAATCCTAAAAGAATCACAGACGAACAATAAGAATAATATCGTAATCATCACCATCATCATCGCCATGACAACGCAGTCACACAATCCTAAAAGAATCACAGACAAAACCATCAGAACAATATCATCTTCATCTTTATCATGTATTAGTGATGTTCCAGAGTCACAGAGATCTTCTTTGGTAAAATCTTCACTTTACCCTGAGTGTTAATGTATGGAAACATCCTCTCAGTGAAAGTGTGTGTGTAGATGTGTATTTGTGTGAAGGTGTGTATGTGTGTGTTAGTATCAGGATCAGAGAACGACAGCTCTCCTCTGTTACAGTCCAGATTCACTCTGATCCTCTGAGGGTTCTTCTTCATGGAGAGAACAGTGACTGGATGTGATGAGGAGCGTGCTCCATATTCACCATCATATAACCCTATTCTCCATAATCCAGACCGTTTGTCTCCCTTCCTCTTGTCAGACTCTGCTAACACACCCAGTCCCCAGCGTGTACTGTCTCCAACCTGGACGTCCCAGCTGTGAGTCCCTGAGTTAAAGCCCTCAAAACCCAGGACAGAGATGTAATAATCAAACCTCTCTGGATTATCAGGAAGCTGCTGCTCCTGTCCTCGTGTCACACAGGTCAGATCATCAGACAGGGTGAGGTATGAACGAGCAGTGTTTGGATCCAGAATGACCGGACTGTAGGAGACCATGTCCTTCATCTTGTTCCAGATGTTGAAGCTCAGGTTGCCCAGGTGTTTGACCACATCTATCAGAGCTCCTGTGGGCAGCTGTGGATCCTCCAGCAGGGGGCGCTGCTGGACTTTTTCCACTGCATCCTTGTAGTTTTTCAGGAATGAGACGTCTGCAGCTCCCAGTTCGTCCTCTGTGGCTCTGACTGAGTCTGAAAGAGCTGCTATCTCTCTGCTCAGAGCCTCCATCTCCTCCTTCATCCTCTGACTCTTTTTCTCCTCTTCCTCCCTCAGTGCACGCAGCCTGGCCTCCTCTTCCTCTATTAGAAACTGGTGAAGCTTCTTAAACTGCTCCTTAATCTGCCTCTCTGTGTGTCGGGCCTGGACCTGAATGTGTTCTGCTGTTTGATCAAATTTCACTTTAACTCGTTTACAAACATTTAACTTCTTCTTTACCGGCTCCAGAGTTTCCTGAAGTTTCTGCTTGTGTTGTTGAGCTGCTTCATCGATGGGTCTGAATGTGTGTTTGCTGTGTTTTTCTGAATCTCTGCAGACGAGACACACCGGCTCCTGATGGTCCAGACAGAAGAGTTTGAGTTTCTCAGAGTGCAGACTGCAGAGATCCTCTGAAGCTCTCTGATCTCTCTCCTGCAGAAAAGTCTCACACAGGTTCTTTAAAGCAAAGTTAGGAGGTAAACTTCTCTTTGACTGTCTCCTCTTACAAACCGGACACACCTTGTTTTCCTTCTCCTTCCAGCAGTCCTGCACACACACTCTACAGAAGCTGTGACAGCAGGACAGGATGACTGGATCTTTAAAGATGTCGAGGCAGACAGGACAGCTCAGATCTTCCTCTAACTTGGACGCCATTTTCTCTCAGAGTCTGAAGACGCAGCAGACAAACAGCTGGGAGTCACTCCCTGTCACTGAAAGTTCCTTCTATCTGTATTCTTCGTTCTTTTTAAATGTCTTATCCGGTTTGTGGATTCAGTTTCAGATAAAAGTCCAGATCTTCCCAGTATCCTGGTATTCCGAGTATTCCGAGTATTCCCGCCTACAGCGGTCTAGTTTTGCTCTAAAGGTGAATCTTACTGTCAGTCCTTCATGGCGTGTCGTCCGGGTTGTCTCAGGTGAGTCCGGTAGAGGTGGACTTTTATTACATCTCATCAGGTATGCAAAAGAAACAAACGCGCTGCAAATAGGCAAAATCTACTGCAGAAGCATCAAACGCGCTGCAAGTACAGAAACGAAACTTAAGTCAAAACACGCACAACCACAAAACAACCAGTGTTGCCAGATCTCGCGAGAGAAACAAGCAACCAGCTCTATGGAAACAAGCCCAGTACAAACAAGACTGCGGTCAAGCCAGCCGCTCCTCGAGTTTACACGGTGGAGTGAGCCGCCCCTAAATTTGAAGTGCTCCCGTATTCTGATCTTTATGGTAAATGCTCCAGAGCGAGCAGGAGGAACAGACAGAGAGAGCGAGTCCGTTATTAATCTCCTTTTCCAGGCAAAAGTGATAAATGTCTAAGTCTTACCATAAAACTGGCTATGAGATACACGTGTATGAAACGGGAGCAAACAAAATACTGTTCAGGGAATAACTTCGGAGGTCGGTGAAATTAGTTTGAGAATAATACTGCGAGTCTGCGGTAACTTCCATTTTTCAAAGTAAGGTGTTTTCCTGGGGAAAAAATATAAAAAAATATGTTCTTACATAAGTACACAATGATTCTGATGTGGTTGGATTAGTACTTCTTTAGTACATTCTACAATCCGCTGTCGAATTCCATAATAAAGCACTATAATGAGTCTTTTTGTATGACTTTGATGTCCTGTAAGTACACAATGATTCTGATATGGTTGGACTTAGTACTTCCTAGACTACATGCACCTGTACTATGAAGTACTTTTACTTTGTACTTTTTGAGAAATCCACTGTCAAAGTCCCTAATAAATCCTAGACTACATACTACTATGTACTATGTACTTTTATGAAGTACTTTTACTGTCTACTTATGGAAGAATTTTTTTTTACAAGACATCAAAGTCAGAAAAAAGAGTAATTATAGTGCTTTATTGGGGTGTGCGCGATAGCCACTGCGCCACCAGCACCCCTCCTCCTTAGTTTAAAAAATAATCCTATCCAGGCGTCCACACACGCTCAGATTTAAAAAAACATCTTTGTCAGCTGTTATGAGCACGCCAAGTCAACAACAACGTCCTTGACAGGCTAAAATGCTCTCACCACTCATCTCCATCTCTCCATTTCATTTACAAAGTCGTCCATTCAGGCGTCTCTGCTCGTCAGCATAGTGGGAGAGTAACTGTATGTGTGAGCATGTAAACAGTCCAGTTAGCAACGTTAGCACCAGAGCCAGTGTGTGTGGCCGTGCGTGATGACGGAGGTACGTGCGTGCGCGCTCTGGCCAGAACCGTTCACAGCTTGGTCAGAGGTAGATTAATGATCAATGCTCCGTCTATAAACACATTTAGAAGTATTTTTTAATTGTTTAGATGTAACCAAACGGAGGCATTCAGTTACTGGTCATATTTGGTTCATCCTGTATCAGTTCTGTGGAGTTTTTAAAAATATTTATAAAGTTATTAATTTGTTTCTGTATGTTAAGATAGTCGTCTCTCTTAAATGATGCGTTGTTTTCTTTCATCAGGGGAGAAGTTTGGTCCCGGTTCACTCACAACTCATCGATTTCTGTTAATTTTTTTTTTAATATAGGTATGGAGAGGGTTTTTTCAAATGTCTTATTAATATATGTAAATTGTTTATTGCTGAAGTTTTCCTTGTACTGTTTGGCCGCTGTGTTTTATATTAAAGCTGCTAATGTGAATTTATATGCTGTACATTCATGCAAAGAAAATGGTTTTCTGGCTTCATATTTATTATTAATTTGCTGTTGAAGTGTATAATTTATTTCAGTTAGTTTTCAAAATATTTTTCTTGTGTTGTATTTATTATGCATTTATTTATTTTCACTTTTTTGGGATAATAGAAGTTTTTTAATAATTGTGTTTATTTTCAAGTATTGTTGATTTAATTACATAATTTTGAATTAATGTGTAATGTATAAATGTAAATAAGGGGAGAGCCGATAACAGCTTGGTCAGGACGGAAATGTTTGATCCCGGCTCACCACACAACAAATCGATTTCTGTTAATTTTGTCTGTTAATACAGAACCAGAACCCACAAGCTGTCTCCTGAGTCATTACTGCAGACCAGAACACAACACAGAACACACACACGGGTTACACAGGTGATGCCTTCAGGGACCCCTTGGAATTCAAGTGAAAAAGTCTGAAATCAGACGTTCACAGCGGCTGCTGAAGCTACAGATGACAGTGAACCAGTTAACACACTGAGCAGAATGTCTTTAAAGAGACTCCAACAAATGAATGAATGAAAACCTTTATTGCCTCGAGGGGGAAATTTCACCGAGAGCATAAAAACACAATACAGGACAGCACATTAAACTCCAACTCCAAGTTATAGAGAATGTTTCAACAAAAACATCATTACCATGACAACGCAGTCACACAATCCTAAAAGAATCACAGACGAACAATAAGAATAATATCGTAATCATCACCATCATCATCGCCATGACAACGCAGTCACACAATCCTAAAAGAATCACAGACAAAACCATCAGAACAATATCATCTTCATCTTTATCATGTATTAGTGATGTTCCAGAGTCACAGAGATCTTCTTTGGTAAAATCTTCACTTTACCCTGAGTGTTAATGTATGGAAACATCCTCTCAGTGAAAGTGTGTGTGTAGATGTGTATTTGTGTGAAGGTGTGTATGTGTGTGTTAGTATCAGGATCAGAGAACGACAGCTCTCCTCTGTTACAGTCCAGATTCACTCTGATCCTCTGAGGGTTCTTCTTCATGGAGAGAACAGTGACTGGAAGTGATGAGGAGCGTGCTCCATATTCACCATCATATAACCCTATTCTCCATAATCCAGACCGTTTGTCTCCCTTCCTCTTGTCAGACTCTGCTAACACACCCAGTCCCCAGCGTGTACTGTCTCCAACCTGGACGTCCCAGCTGTGAGTCCCTGAGTTAAAGCCCTCAAAACCCAGGACAGAGATGTAATAATCAAACCTCTCTGGATTATCAGGAAGCTGCTGCTCCTCTCCTCGTGTCACACAGGTCAGATCATCAGACACGATGAGTCCTGAACCAGCAGTGTTTGGATCCAGAATGACCGGACTGTAGGAGACCATGTCCTTCATCTTGTTCCAGATGTTGAAGCTCAGGTTGCCCAGGTGTTTGACCACATCTATCAGAGCTCCTGTGGGCAGCTGTGGATCCTCCAGCAGGGGCGCTGCTGGACTCTTTCCACTGCATCCTTGTAGTTTTTCAGGAATGAGACGTCTGCAGCTCCCAGTTCGTCCTCTGTGGCTCTGACTGAGTCTGAAAGAGCTGCTATCTCTCTGCTCAGAGCCTCCATCTCCTCCTTCATCCTCTGACTCTTTTTCTCCTCTTCCTCCCTCAGTGCACGCAGCCTGGCCTCCTCTTCCTCTATTAGAAACTGGTGAAGCTTCTTAAACTGCTCCTTAATCTGCCTCTCTGTGTGTCGGGCCTGGACCTGAATGTGTTCTGCTGTTTGATCAAATTTCACTTTAACTCGTTTACAAACATTTAACTTCTTCTTTACCGGCTCCAGAGTTTCCTGAAGTTTCTGCTTGTGTTGTTGAGCAGCTTCATCGATGGGTCTGAATGTGTGTTTGCTGTGTTTTTCTGAATCTCTGCAGACGAGACACACCGGCTCCTGATGGTCCAGACAGAAGAGTTTGAGTTTCTCAGAGTGCAGACTGCAGAGATCCTCTGAAGCTCTCTGATCTCTCTCCTGCAGAAAAGTCTCACACAGGTTCTTTAAAGCAAAGTTAGGAGGTAACCTTCCCTTTGACTGTCTCCTCTTACAAACCGGACACACCTTGTTTTCCTTCTCCTTCCAGCAGTCCTGCACACACACTCTACAGAAGCTGTGACAGCAGGACAGGATGACTGGATCTTTAAAGATGTCGAAGCAGATCGGACAGCTCAGATCTTCCTCTAACTTGGACGCCATTTTCTCTCAGAGTCTGAAGACGCAGCAGACAAACAGCTGGGAGTCACTCCCTGTCACTGAAAGTTCCTTCTATCTGTATTCTTCGTTCTTTTTAAATGTCTTATCCGGTTTGTGGATTCAGTTTCAGATAAAAGTCCAGATCTTCCCAGTATCCTGGTATTCCGAGTATTCCGAGTATTCCCGCCTACAGCGGTCTAGTTTTGCTCTAAAGGTGAATCTTACTGTCAGTCCTTCATGGCGTGTCGTCCGGGTTGTCTCAGGTGAGTCCGGTAGAGGTGGACTTTTATTACATCTCATCAGGTATGCAAAAGAAACAAACGCGCTGCAAATAGGCAAAATCTACTGCAGAAGCATCAAACGCGCTGCAAGTACAGAAACGAAACTTAAGTCAAAACACGCACAACCACAAAACAACCAGTGTTGCCAGATCTCGCGAGAGAAACAAGCAACCAGCTCTATGGAAACAAGCCCAGTACAAGACTGCGGTCAAGCCAGCCGCTCCTCGAGTTTACACGGTGGAGTGAGCCGCCCCTAAATTTGAAGTGCTCCCGTATTCTGATCTTTATGGTAAATGCTCCAGAGCGAGCAGGAGGAACAGACAGAGAGAGCGAGTCCGTTATTAATCTCCTTTTCCAGGCAAAAGTGATAAATGTCTAAGTCTTACCATAAAACTGGCTATGAGATACACGTGTATGAAACGGGAGCAAACAAAATACTGTTCAGGGAATAACTTCGGAGGTCGGTGAAATTAGTTTGAGAATAATACTGCGAGTCTGCGGTAACTTCCATTTTTCAAAGTAAGGTGTTTTCCTGGGGAAAAAATATAAAAAAATATGTTCTTACATAAGTACACAATGATTCTGATGTGGTTGGACTTAGTACTTCCTAGACTACATGCACCTGTACTATGAAGTACTTTTACTTTGTACCTTTTGAGAAATCCACTGTCAAAGTCCCTAATAAATCCTAGACTACATACTACTATGTACTATGTACTTTTATGAAGTACTTTTACTGTCTACTTATGGAAGAATTTTTTTTTACAAGACATCAAAGTCAGAAAAAAGAGTAATTATAGTGCTTTATTGGGGTGTGCGCGATAGCCACTGCGCCACCAGCACCCCTCCTCCTTAGTTTAAAAAATAATCCTATCCAGGCGTCCACACATGCTCAGATTTAAAAAAACATCTTTGTTAGCTGTTATGAGCACGCCAAGTCAACAACAACGTCCTTGACAGGCTAAAATGCTCTCACCACTCATCTCCATCTCTCCATTTCATTTACAAAGTCGTCCATTCAGGCGTCTCTGCTCGTCAGCATAGTGGGAGAGTAACTGTATGTGTGAGCATGTAAACAGTCCAGTTAGCAACATTAGCACCAGAGCTACACGGTAACGTTTGCCATTACACTAATCTCAGGTAAACAAAAGTGATGTAAATAAAGTTACATTGTTGTCATTGATCTTAAATTCATTAAAATAAAAAAGTTTTAAAAAAAGCATGTTCGACTGAGTCACATAAAGCGCCAATATTCTGAATATTAAAAAGCCTCTACATTCAGGCATTTTAACAGTCAAATTTATTTTTTCATTTGAATTCTCATAGCTGCTACCAAAGATGCTAAGCAGCACAACAAGAGTGAGTGCTGTTAGATGGGTCCCCGAAAGTTTCATTTCAAAATGTTTAGATTAAACATGGTCAACCCTGAGGGCCCCCTACTCAAGCAGTTGCCTGCGTTGCCTGTTGACAAGCAGCGCCTCTGGGTAAAGGTCTATTCTGTGATTTTGATCTGCTGACTTGACATCAAGCAGACATCTTGTAGGCGTTTCCTGTCAATCGAAGTGACCATGACATGAAATCTGCATTTCTTGAATCACTGAACAGAGAAATGAGCTTTAGAGATGCAAACTGTTTTTGTACCAGGCTGTAAATATATTTAATGCATGTTGCATGTTCTCCTTGTGCATGTGTGGGTTCTCTCTGGGTACTCTGGCTTCCTCCCACAGTCCAAAGACATGCTCGTTAGGTTAACTGGAGACTCTGAATTGCCCGTAGGTGTGAATGTGAGTGTAGCTGGTTGTCTGTCTCTAAATGTCAGCCCTGTGATTGGCTGGTGAACAGTCAGGGTATAAGCGAACGGGAAAAGCAGTGTAGACAATGTATGGATGGATAAATGTTTGGGGACTGACACACTGCAGTAGACAGCCTCTAGTGGACACAAGAGGAACTGCAGTTTTTGGTGCTTCTGCTTTAGTTTCCTTTTTTACAGCACGTGAGGTTGCTGCTTAGTAGAAAAGTTTAATTCTGGTATGTGTGCAAATTCTGTCCTAACAAAGACATTCCTGGGATGTTTTTATGTGAGAGACGGATTATGAGACTTTGAGCCCCCACATAAAAGAGCCAGCAGCCCCCCCCACCCCCACCCCCCGGTGAACGTGTGGAGTTGTACGCCCAAATATCCCACAGAAACACGTTGTTTTTTAGAGTCAATAAGAAGGTAAGACCTTGACTGAACCCAAAAAAATCAGTTCATCACAGAAGTTTTATCTTTTAAAAACCCATCCAGGCGAACCTGTTTGATCTCCTGTACACTCACCTGTTGACCATGTCATGACACACTGCTCCGTTCTGACAGGGCTCACTGGCACACTCATCAACGTCCACCTCACAGTCGACGCCATCGAACCCGGGAGGACACTCGCAGGTGTACATGCCGATGAGGTCGTGGCAGGTCGCTCTGTTACGGCAGGGACTTGACTCACACTCGTCGATCTCCAGCTCGCAGTTTATTCCTGAAGGGGGAGTTAGGACAAAATGAAATGATGCTAAATGTTACAAAAACAGCCAGTCCTCTTTGTGTCTGTTCTGAGCTGATAACGTCTTTCTGAACGGACTGACTGAGTGACAGGTGGGAATGCAGAGCTGCTGATCTGACCGTAACACACTCTGATAACATGGAGCTCCTCTGACACTGAGCAGGCTGCGCAGAAAGAACCCAGTGTAAGAAAAGCAAGACGAGAGTGTTTCCCCCTCTCTGCGTTATCTGAGCCGCTGATAAGAGAACATCTTAGTGAGCTCTTAAAATACTTCTCGTGCTCCGTTTATCAGGAACAAACTAAACACTGTGGGATTAACAAACCAAGGAGCGAGACGTAGAGGAGAGAATGAAGTCTGTCAGTGAGCAGAAAGTGTCTCACCGCTGAGGAGATGATTCATCATGACACATAATAAATATTTACAACCGTGCAGTCTTCATCCAGATAATAAAGTTGCTTGATACTGTGAATATGTTTAATTACACATAATGTTGCTCTCTGTCATTTAGGTTGGCATCTTGAATTTCCTCAACCTTGCCAACAGGGAATTGTCAAGCTAGCCCTATCTATAAAGGAACTGAACATCAGTACAAAGTCACAGATATTTAGACTCTTTGCCGGGTTTAAAACATCCTTAAAGGTGATTATTTATAGGTGATGTTTTGATCCAGCAGATGTCGCCCTTGAGCACCAGCATGAAACCAAAATAACTCGAGCTGCATTGTTGTGTTTGCATGCTAATGCTAATTATGGTCGTATCTTCACACTGCATGTCAGTTTACCCGAAATGAGCGTGATCTAGAAACGAAGTTAAGCAGTGAGGACAGTATGTTATTCTTCTTTTCTCTAGTCCCTCAATTAAACAACTTTTATAAGCGAAGATAGGACTCTGAAAACTCTGAAAACATCACAGACAGTGAGACTCGGGTGTCACACCCATTGTAGACAGTCATGACTCACAGAGTTATTTTCAGAGGATATACTTGATTTCTGCTACATTTAAGTGTGAAAAATCGCATATAAAGCCTTTAAACAGTTACTGTATGTTTGAGGAGTCTGCGTTTTCAAACATCCATAAAACTTTTTCCCTGCCAGCCTCCCTGTTAGTTATCTACCTGAAATTTGGGTGAGCTGATGTGAGAACACAGCAGGAAATATTCAGGCTAGACTAGAGGGAGGGGTAGACGGACCACAGACTGGATGGATGCGACCGATGCGTTCTCTTTGCAGTGTGCAGTTTGGGTAATGTGCAACATTTGTACGTACCTGCGAATCCCAGCAGGCACTCACACTCGTAGTGGTCCTTCTCGTTGATGCAGGTGGCGTTGTTCTCACAGGGTCGTGATGCACACTCGTTGATGTCGATCTCACAGTTATAACCCTGAAACCCGGGCACGCAGAAGCAGTGGAACTCTGCCATTCCGTCCACACATATAGCTCCGTTCTGACAGGGCTCTGATGAACACTCATTCACGTCCTCCTCGCAGGTGTTTCCCTCGAACCCGGGTGCACAGTGACACTCAAACCCCTCCGGTCTGAGTACGCAGGTCCCGTTGTTCCTGCACGGTTCATCGATACAGTCTGTCACATGAGTCCTGCAGTCCCGTCCTCCGTAACCTTCAGGACACCTGCAGAAGTATCCGTTCAGTCGGTCCACACACAGCGAGCGAGGCTCAGAACACGGGTTACTCTCACACTCGTTCACCTCCTCAGTGCAGTTATCACCTGTCAGACCCTCCGGACAGGTGCAGTGGTACTCGGTGGTGCCCGGGACGCTGGTGCAGTTCTCACATGGAGCGAAGGAGCAGGCGTCGTAGGGTTCATCACAGTTCTTACCCATGAATCTGACCTCCCCTCTGGGACAGATGCAGGCGTAGTCGTCCAAGTTGTCCACACAGGAAGCTCCGTTCTGACAGGGGGCGGACAAACAACTGTCTGACGTGGCGTTACACAGGATTCCTGGAAGACAAAGGAAAGATTATTCATTTATGCATGTTGAATACAAGACCTTCCAACCCAGGAAGGGCTCAGGACACGATGTCTCCAGCAGTCTGAGAAAATGAAGGCGTCATAGCATGCTCTGCTTGTTTTCCAATCAAACCAATGGACATCATCAATTTGGTTATAAACAACATCTTGTTTTTTTTGAGCTAGAAGTGACCATATTTGGACGAGAGGTTAAGTTCAGTGACTGAATGAGCTGATTGAGATGACACCTAGCATACGTCTAGCAGCTTCAACCTGTCACTCAAAGAGGCTACGCCCCCTAATTCTACATCCCTTTGAGCCTTAATATATTGTAAACAGGTAAGCTGTATAAACATTCAGCCCGTATAGTTGAAGAGAGAAATGAGCTCTAGAGACCCAAACTGTTTTTGTACCAGGGTGTAAACATGTTTATTTTAACATGGAGCTCTATGGAGACTGACTCACTGCAGGAGACGGACTCTAGTGGACAGTGGAGGAACTGCAGCTGTAAAGTTGAACATTTTAACATAGGGCTCTATGGGGACTGACTCACTGCAGGAGACAGACTCTAGTGGATACTGTCACTTTTGTTTTCATGAGATTAGTGCGATGGCAGATGTGACCAAACTAGCGCTGGTGCTAACGTTGCTAACTGACTTTTTACATGCTCACACATACATACACCTGATTTACAATATACAAACTGTGAAAGTTTTTTCATCTTCTCCTTGGGAATTGTAGAATAATTTGAAAGAAAACATTATGAACTGTTAGTTATTGTCACCTTCAGTCTGAATTATGACCTGCAGGTGACTTGGACACGTAATGACACCATGGTTCATGTTAGGTCCTTCACATGACTAACAGGGGGCTGCTGGGAACATTTTAAAATGTCTCCATTCAGCAGCAACAAACAAGTGGATGAACTGAAATGACCAAGTGTGCCTGCCATTTAAACCTGTTACACTCATTCCTTCTGACATGCACGTAATCTGCTCACACTCCTCCTTGGCACTGATGTCCAGGAGTGTTAAACCCTCACACACGAACACACACCCACGAGCTATTTAGCTAAACCCTCTCACACACACACACTGTACGACTAAACCCTCACACGTGTCACAGTGTCTTTTGTTCATGCGTAGTCTTAACTCACCCTGGTCCAGCTTTTACTGTGACTAGACAGAGGTGCAAAATACTGCAGTTCCACTGGTGTCCACTTAAGTTTGTCTCCAAACAATGAATCGATCTCCATAGAGTCCCATGTTAATAAGTCAAACTTGTTTACAGCAGGGTACAAAAAGGGTTTTGGTCTCTAAAGCTAATTTCTTAGTTGTAACACTGTGTGAGGGCTGTTGTTTTATATCGTGTTGTATGATCACATTAGCAATAAGAGTTTAGTATACATTTGCATAATTAGGGGCGTGGTCCAGTTGAGTGACATATAGGAACGTTATAACTGTTTGCCAGGAGGCTTAAGGCCCGCCTCAGCTCCACCTTTTTGTCTGCTTCTATATAAGTTTGGTAGAGTCAGTATTTACAATATGGCGACTAACATTGGGCTCGACGTCCATGTTTTATACATTTTTTTAAATAGACGTTTTGACAGTTGAAATTGCGGAATGTGCCTTTAAGATTTACAGTGTTGCTAAGTTTCTAGGGAAGCGACGTCACTAGAGGACGTCTTGTTTTTAGCCTTAAGGTTTAGTTTGTCATCGACTGATGTCTGACACCGAGCTCCTTGTTTCCTTTTGTCTCTCAGCTCAACAGTGACATGACGAGAGGTTTGTCGACATGATTTTGCTCATGTTTGATAAAATAGAAGTCTGTGATAAACAGTGAGCATTGTGGAAACCACCAACGAGCATTGAAGTCAAGACCACGGTAACCAAGACCAAGACATGTGCTCAGAGACCAAGACAAGACCAAGATATTAAGGGGTTGAGATCAAGTCAAGGCCAAGACCAAGTACGAGGCAGAACGAGACAGAGACCATAAATTTTGATTTAAAAAAATCATCACCTTGTGTTTAGGGGACGTATCTCTCACAATCGTAACACCGGGAAGGTTATGGCTGTAACCGGGAGATAAAAATCAAACTACAAATAAATTGAAGTTATTTGTTCTTTTAGAAAGAGGCGCTTCTAATCACAGTAATGACGTGGAACAATAGCCAATCAGTGGTGGTCTAGACCGGTCTTGATTTGAAATCAGGAGTCCGTCCAGTCTGAGACAAGGCCGAGTAAAAATGCTTTCGATTCTGAGGTTGAGACCTTGAAAAAGTGGTCTCAAGACCGGTCTTGTGTACTGCAACACTACCCCAGCCCCGTGTGAATGTGCACTTTTGGTTAACTTACTGTCTCCAACGCTCTCCAAAATGCCGTTAGCCAAGCGGCACGAACCCAAACCGTTACAGCGTCAATAACAGTGATCCTGTGTTGACCCTTTTTCAGTGTTTTAGAAAATAGAAACACAGGTTCTTCTCAATATCGCGCAACAACGTTAGAGTATCTGCAGATCAAAAATCAGAGTTCAGTATATTTATTGTGAACTTAATGATGGAGTCCAGGAGCAGTTTTCTCCCAACAACAGAACTTCAGAGTGGATATAAACCTGCACAGTTCTGTGGGAAAGACGCACCTGTATGGCTATGTTTCCTGGTAGGACTGTGGGTCTTTGACAAATCTGTTCCAATGAACCCAAAGTCTCTGAATCTGTCCATGGCCTCCAGGGGTCGCTGTTGGTAATTGTCAGTGTTGTTTCACAAAGACGTATGAGGCAACAAGTTTCCTCTGTTAATGAACGTTGGGTTTGTTCTTCTGTTACATAAATTAATTGTTTTTTGTCTCAATTAGCTTGAAGCCAGAGTAAATAATGACCATACTGTATTGTCCTCCATGAATAACCTCTCTCAGCCTGGGGGGGGGCATTCTGTTTGTCATTTCACAGTGGAATTAAACACTTTAATTTGAAGGGGGGTTGACGAAAAAAAATCACAATACTCACGCTGTCTCCCCCCACCAGCAGATGCCATGAGGTCTGTGTGGAAACGCTCCACATTCCTGTTATTAGGCCAGTCTACACCCCCCCACCATCAGCCTCCCAGCCACCCCACACTTTGATCAGAGCCCTGTTTCCAAATTCTCACTGAAGTGGAAGTTATTAACAGTGAAGGGAGTTATGGAGGGGCAGGGGGGCAGGGAGAGAATATTTAATGAGGAACTTCAGTGTTAGAGAGGGTCACTGTTTATTCATAGAAAAGGTCTGACGTTATTCGGAGCCTAACGGGGATCAAATCGGAGCGTTATGTCGTTTGACTCAGAGTTCAACCCTGAGTTAAGATCAGGAGAAGGCCCTTTCTGAGACCGAGGACAGACGGTAAAGTCCAGTCCTTTAAGTCTTTTGAAGTCTACTTTAGGACCCTGAAAATGTTTGTCAAACAGCTCAACTCCGGGCGATGGAGTCATACATCAACAGCAAATTTCTGCAAACGTTAACGGCAACTTTGACCATGTCACATTGGCCATTTCCTCTTTTTTCCAGTTCCAGTGGGGTCCAATGTATTGAGAGAGATCCTAGGTTTAACAGGATTATATAAAATGACCACAACATCTGAACACCTCATGACGTGGTGATAATGATGTGTGTTGGTAGAGTCACAGAAACATGGGAATGCAAAGTAAACTGGGATTTTTTGGTTGTGGTTGCTGACTCTGACCACAAGTCAAGTGTCTGCCATTCCTGGACCACTTGGGTTGCTTTTTTGGGTTTATTGGTTTGTCAAAAACAAAAAAAATTACACAGATGAGACGGTGGTTCAAGTCAACATAATACAACATTATTTGGTGTAACATAACATAACGTATAATGTATTCTAAGCACTGAATCAATGCATGAAAAGGGAAACAGTTCCTTCTTTCTTCAAGTCAAGTATTGAGTCAAGTTGAAGCCCTGACCCCTAACCCTAACCTGTCAAGTCATCTCATATAACATCTAGCAACATAACGCCTTAGCGTAACTTAACCTAATGTTCAGTTACGTTACATGACTAAACATGTTGGTCTACTTTGGACTAAAAGTTCTTTTTTTTAACTGCCTCATCCAAACCAAGTTGTTTCAGTCAGACGAGCTGTCTTCATCTTACACCAGCACTTTTCATTGTTACTGTTTCCACTTTGAGGGCTTGTATTTTTTAATTTATGTTCCACCACAAAAACACGTTTGGATTTGTTAGGTTGTTTCAATGCAACTTTCATTGATGGCACTCCCTCATAATTGTATTTATGACCAAGAGCAGCTCACAACTCAGGAAGTCTTTAGACCTCCATCAGTCAGTCACAGAGGAACACAGTGGTTACCCCTCAGTTACAGAGTCGTTACTGATTACACTAGTCATAGAAATACTTTCGGCTGTCAACTTAATCACATTTTCCCATTTTTACAATGGGAAAAAAATGGTTGTTTCCATCAGTTAACAGTGATGTGCATTGTTAAATAATCTCTCCTGCAGACATCAGGCGATGTTTCTAAATGGACTTCATTCTCTTTAGTACATATGTGATTGTCAATTACATGCAGATAACATGAAGCCCTGAATAAATAAAAAAAACCCAATGTAATAAAAAGTACAGTTTGCGTCATGCTGAGATTACATGGGAGCGTGCAACTCAGTCAGACGTTTTCTGTTGTAGATGTTCTAAATCTACATTCTTTATTCTGCGTGAAATTATAGATTATGATCAGAGATGATTGGATTGATTAAAGGGATGATCGGCTGTCTTTGGACCACTCTCTCTCTCTCTCTCTCTCTCTCTCTCTCTCTCTCTCTCACTTTCTTCTAGCTGCTGGTCTCTCGTCCAGACTTTGATTTGGATGATCGCCTTTGTGTGAAGTCCCTAGGTGACATGGTTTTTAGTCTATCTGACCTAGAGATGAACCTCTTCTCTGTGACTTAACCTGACCTTTGGTCCATGTTTACCCCTATTTAAATGTTATTCTTGGACTTATTCCTCATCTGAATCAAAGGTCTAAGGAGAAAGCAGGTCGTGTGCTGTGCAGACGGTAAAGCCAGCCTTCCAGGAAAGGAAAGTTTTACCTCTGTGGCCCAGCAACACCTTTTTAGACGTAGTAGGTTGTTGTTTTTTCTAATTGTGACTGACGTGTTTTCTCCCCTCAGTCCGCAGACACTAAATGTGTTTGAACCACACAGATTACAGTGGTCAGTAGTAGACCGTTTGCCACCTGCAGACAGGTAGAGTCCCAGGTGGCTGTGGACGGTTCAGATCAGGTTCTGCTGGATGAAAGAGGGAGCTCAGGATAAACATGTTAATTGAGCGAGGTGATGATCCTTTTGCTTGCTTGATAAGAAACTTAACTCGAGGTTGGTTGTGTCAAACATCAAGTCAAACAGGAACACTGTCCAATCAAGGGTCTTTAAGGACTGAATGTTTTCAGCTCTTTATTTAAACCGCAAACTGAATTAATACACAAGTATATTTAATAAATCATACAAATAAAAATCAACTCTACGCTGAATCAGGTATACTTTCACCTTTCCAAACCACATTATGTATCTAAATAGATTCAGATGCAAGAATATCTGCAAGTAAATGTATTTCATTACATGGTATCAGTTTTGAACTTTATGATTTGTTATCAGCCAATTTTTTATTGTGTGGTGTTCCTCAAGGCTCGAGTCTTGGGCCACTTTTTTTTTATTTTTTTTACTGTACTTAAAGGCTTGCTTTCTTTAACTTTACTTTTACATGACCTCTCACACTGTTAAACCATCTGGGCACTCAAGAATTTCCAAGATGAGGAAAACTAACTTATTATGCGCTTCACCCTCAAATCTGTCCATTTTGTCTGGGAAAAATTTACCACAACAATGATTATCACTGTAACGCTACACAATAAGTCATTATCTTTGAACAACAAACTGCAATGTGCAAATACTGGTGCAGTAGCATACTTTATATAGAGTATCATTCAAGTCTGATAATGGGACAGGATTTGATTTTCCTGAATTATTCACACAGAGTCTAACAACTCTGCCAGGATTTGATGGACATATAAATTAATACTGATGCCTACACAGAACAGTTTACTGGTTTTGATGAGGGAATAAGAGGGCAGAACGGTGAGGTATTCACAAACAAGAAAGTCATGCAGTATTAAGATGATATGCCCTTCATGCGTTCAAGACTCCTCCTCAGTTCAGACAAACTGTTCGTGCAGCTGATTGGATCAAATTATTATCAAGGAGGGATGTTGGTGTTTCATGTGAGGACAACGGACTCACTAACTTATCAACTCTGTGAACTCTTGAAGGATTCAAAAGTTGGGACCCAGGTAAGTCTGCATCTTGATTTAACCTTGAAATCTATCTTCCATTTTCTTTACTGTTTAGGTCGTTTGGGGTCTTGGGGTGGCTAGTGCAGATCCCAGCTTTCATTGAGCGAGTGGCTGGGTACAACCTGGACAGTCCATCACAGGGCTGACATATTGAGACCAGACAACTAGCCACACTCACATTCACCCCTACAGGCAATTTAGAGTCCCTAACGAGCATGTTTGGACTGTGGGAGGAAGCCAAAGTATCTGGAGGGGACCCTAGCATACAAAGAGAACATACGAACTCCACACAGAAAGGCACCCACCCACCTGGGAACTCGAACCAGGTACCTTCAGCGCTAACCACTGCACCACCTTGCAGCCCTTAAATTGTACTTTTCTGTGATATTCGTCATACTTTCAGATTTTTTTTTGATTTTATGATCTTGTCCCTTTTGATCCCTGTCTTCTCTGTGTCCTCTACCAAGGCCTGCTCTTCAATTGACTTTCCCTCCCCCCCCCTTTCACCCGAGCAGGTTTGATGACCTCCCTGACCTCTGGAGTGTTTCTCAGTAGTAATCCTTCGGGCCTCTTTGGGACAATCTGCCCCTCTGCTCGTCTAATCTCCTTGTGGCAGGATACCTGCACAGATTACCGCTCCGAGCTGCACAGAGCATGTGTCACCTCTGTCACCTCTTGTCCGTCTCCATCACATGATCTCATTCTTCTGCTTCCTTTAATTGAATTGGCTCTACCTAATAAAACCCTCATGAAACATGGCAGACACTTTTAGCGCACACATTTTACTGTTGTGACTAAGTTGACTGTTAAGAGACAATCAGACACAAGAGGATACACTGGAACAAACACTGCATGGAAAAAAATGCTGCTCTCTGATTGAATCACATCAAGTTAAAATGGTCTACTAGTTAGGATGAACCCGTTGTAACCAAACAATCAAATAATGCACCTCGGATATAGTGTGGCAGAACTTAAAACAGAACTCCCAGAGAGCTGCTGACACAGGGCGCTGGTGTTTTGTCTTTTTGCCAAACCATTATAGGTCTCACTATAACTCTTACCATAACCTCAGAAGGCTTCACTACAAAAAGACGATTTGATGGTGGTTAACATCACAACAAAACAAATAATTGACTCCTTCTCCAGCCCACCAACCTCTCTCAATCAAGACTTTACAGCTAAAGGCAGGTTTAAAGGATCAATCAGTAAGATGTGTAGTGAGTGAAATGATAAAGTGACCTTACTATATGATCAGACATTAAGGGAACATGCTATGTTGAAGTGCTGGCTTCTCTGACAACAATGCAGCAGCCAGTATGTCCTCCTTCTAACTTTAGATTCTGGTCCTGAATGCTCTGGATTTGTTTGGACCAGAGAAGGTAGGCGGTTTTAAGACACCCCCCATGCAGCCGTTTTGGACGCCCCTCGGTTTGCCAGATATGAGAGCAGTTATCAGGTCAAACCAACAGGTGTTGCAGTGATGGAAGCGGGCAAGACAAGTGGTTCAGATAGAAGTGATTGTACCCGACCTAAAAAGCCTCTGCATGTTTCTAATAAGCTCCACGAGCAGAAACGTGCTCAAACTAGGATCAATATTGGAGATGCTTTTGAAAAATGGAGAGAGGTTAGAACCCAGAAAGGTTTACAGACCGATGCAGAGCTGGATAAACACTGAAGCTTCAGTGTCCACCACATGGCAACCTGTGTGAGCATGGACTCTAGAGAGGAGGGAGGAGCTAGATTTTTGCTTCTGCATTAAATCTACGCCGAAGGTTCACATAGTCTTTTACTTACAGAGAAGCCAACGCACCTAGCCTGACGTTCACCTCCTCCAAAATGTAACTACATGTCGAAACAACTCAACCTTCAGCCCTGTGATTCGACCGTTGGTTAGAATCGTATGTTCTGTTTTTACAACATTTATGCCATTGCCGCCGTTTTCACATTTCTGCAGCAAGAAGAACACTAAAGGCCAGTAATCTATAATCAACATTTATCAGCTCCAAGTCAAACAAAAGACGCTCGGTTCAGTCGCCATGGTTTCCACAAACAAGCAGAGAGTGTTGCATAAACCAGAAACTGGCGAAATAAAAAGCACAGAAATCGAAATACCAACATTTCAGTATTGAAGAGCTACCCAGTAACGCACAAGGAGGTAGTGGTCAAGACGGCGCCGCTCACTACAGCATACATTCAACACCAACCAGGATTACAGCAACATAAAAAGGAAAATCATATCAGTTTAAAAAGGTGCTGTCACACTTTGATGAGGCTCCTAAATCACAACTCAACGAGTGTTTGGTGTTTTCTCTGCAACATTCTGTCACTTGGTACAAATGTGAGAGTCCATGCTTCCACTGAGTTTGATCAATCTCTTCTATCAGATAGCAAACTTTAAAAAAAACTCAAAGTAAAGAGACGTTCAGTGACCTGGTTGTGCGTCTCGAGTCACGCACAGTCGCTCATGAATGAGCTGATCTCATCCCTGTTTGTTCTGTGTGAGTATGCATGACTGAGGAGCGCCGATTCACAGCCAGTCATGTGTCTAATGCAACACAATGGGAGAGTGAAAACATGAAATAAAGTTCCACTTAAACCACGCCTTCTCGCGTCAACCATCCAATCAAACAGCAGCTTCTACGGATTAAAGTTCAGAGTTTGACAAATTCAGTTTCAGTGACTTTGCTCTGTTAATTTTACATTTTAAACCAAATAGACAGTTCCAAGTTTGAACTGCTGACCTTGCTGCTTTAATCTTAATTGTTCTTATTTTTCATGAACACATATTTCCACCTAGTTGTACATCATTGCACCTTTAAATTCAATATAAAAAATTGGCTTAATTTCATCCAAACTTTGTTTTATCGATCAGCCTGACTTCTTTGTTTCTGATTGTCCTTCATGCTTCTGTACCGGTGCCAATGAGGGTTGAGACTTTTCCAAGGCTTTAAATGGTTTATTGATGATGCTGATGATCGTAGTATCCTCCTTAATTATCCCAAAAATTCCCAGTGACAATAACACCCCGTCCTCCAAAACTAGTTTGCATCTACTTGAGTCTGTGGGAGCACAAACCGGTCCCTCCTCCCAGAATGCACTTGTGCCTCTTTGTTGGAGGAGCAGCATCTCTGAGAGCTGCTCCTCACTCTCCTCCTCTGGACTCTATACATGACATTATTCCAGCACTGAGAGGTTTGTTTTAATTACAGAGAGTATAGGGTGAGAAAACTGCTCCTAATGTGGCCGTGTTAAATCTTCTCCTGCAGCCTGTTGCTTTCACAGAAACAGGATTAAACTTTAAACTCTCAAACTCACAATCACAGAGAGATTTTCTGGGGATTTGCACGGCGCAGACTGAGTTTCCCTCCAGGACACAGAAATGATCAAAAGTATCAGCGAAGTGTTTTTGACTCACCCCATTTGAACATCATCATGGTCAGCAGCAGAGTCTTCAGGTTCAGGTGAACTTTTCCCAGCTCCATGATGAAACCCCTGAACAGGAGGAGCACAGTGAATCTGCAGGAATCAGGGATCCTAAAATCCTGACATGCTGCTGACGGTGGGAGAAGCTCCTCTGTGGGTGTCCGCTCTGTGTTCAGGATGTGGCATACTGCTCCGTCTGTGTTCGAGCTCTAATGAAGAGAAGTGACACAGACAGCCCTCCCTGCTCCAAACGCGGAGTCTAATCAGCCGTGAGAGCCGAGAGACGGGAGGAAAACACGAGCTGGACCTACACCTGCTGCTCGCACTGAACGAGAGAACACACTCTGCGTGAAGACGGGAGAGAGTGGGAGGATTAATAAAGCTATCAGGCATCACTCACTTCAGGTTCATGATGTTTGAGCCTCAACAGCAGAATGAAGATGGAGCACACTTTAAAGAGTTCCAGGTTTTTCTACTTTAAAGTGGAAGAAAAGAAAAACTGGATTTTGTTGAACCACATCGATAATAAAACTAATAAGTTCAACTTTCAGTTTGTCAGTATTGCATGAACACAGTTCCTGAAACTCTGTTTGTCCAAAACTGCACACTTAAAAAAACAACATAAAGACAAAATAGAAAACACCGTGCAGCTCTTACAAAAGTTAGCACGACATTCAACAACATATAAATCCTTCTCCTCTGCAACTGCCTCCTCTTCCTCCTTCTCCTGTTTCTCAGCTTCTTCTTTCTCCTTCATTTCCCTTTCTTCATCCTCCTCTTTCTCCCTCTTCACTTCCTCTTCCTCCTTCTCCTCTTTCTCAGCATCTTTCTGCCGTTTTCTGATTTCCATCCTACCTCTGTCTCTTTTGCCTCTTTCTACTCTGCTTCCTCCTTCTCCTCTTCCTCCTATAACTCAAACTGGTCAAATCAGTCAGTCTGAACCATCAGCTTGGCGTTGTGCTGAATCTGTACGCTCCAGTTAATCCAGTCCAGGTTTTGGTCCCCGGCTCATCAGCAGCATTAGCGACTCTTTATCGGGGAGCTTAGCAGCCAGGCATCAATCACTTAGCCTGTTAGGGTGAGGGTCAGGGTCAGCCTAACCCCCCCCCCCCCAACACACACACACACCAGCTGTACCTGACACCTCCTCAGGCAAAAGGGCCGATTCACACCCACAGACTCAGTAAATCCTGATTACTGTAACGAGCAGTCATATCTGTGAAGGGAGGAGAAAAGTCTGAATTCAATGTGAACACAGCGAGAGAAACAGGTGGTCCGGAAAGCAAAAGGAATTATCAGCTGATCTTAGCGTCGTCTGTCCACCGAATTGAAGCCCCCCATGACTGAAGCCCCCCATGACTGTGTTATATTAAACAAGTTACAAGTACTTACACACACACACACACACACACACACACACACACACACACACACACACACACACACACACACACACACACACACACACACACACACACACACAGTCAATATGAGATCCCTGCTCATACTCTGGATGCAAACTCACAATATGCACGTCCAGGAATATTTTAGCTTCACCTGTTCAACGGGAGGAGGCTGAGGCACACTGTCCATTTGTATATACACTCTATGGTGAGAAGTCACCCAGGACACATTGAGGCCACATACTGAGGTGGTCTGGCCTGCGTTTGTCCTCATATTATGTCAAGCTTGTGAAGAGCAAGCCCCCCCCCCCCCCCCCCATCCCCCAGGCTGCATGTGATCCGTGGATTGATACAGTATTTATCCGCATTTATCCGTGTAAAATACAAGACAAGTCACTAAATCCCTGTGCAGAGAGTCTCGGGGAAAAGAGGCCGTGTGTTTGAGAAGTTTGTGTGTAGGCGACAGATTGTATTTGTTTATTATATTATCTCATTTAACAATGAAACATGACCAGTGACTATGAGGTAAACTAAACTTCAGAGGAGTTGGACATCTTGAGATCATTTCTGGACGCAACAGATTAAATGCTGTTATCAATATGAGTCAGAGCAGAGTTGGTTGTTTTCTTCCAGTAATGAATTGGTTTTGTGAGCTGAACACACCATGATTCAGAGAGGACGGCTACAGATCGGATGTTTTGTCCTTCACAGCTTCTTCTCTAATCTGAACCGATAACAGAGCAGAGAAAACCACCAACAACGCACGTGTTTTTAACAGTAATCTGACAACAATTCCTTACGTCAGGCTATTCTTTGCAGTCAGCGACAAGTTTCCTGTTAATCACAGTTAACGTTATTTAAGTAGGAGCTTTCAAAATCAGGGTTTAAAGTGCTTAAACAAGAAAAAAAAAACATAAAACCCTGATAAGGCCGCTTGGATTGATCCTTGATCCAGAACATATATGTAACTCTCTACGGGCCTGCTGGTAATTCATTTTTAAAAACACAATTTGTTTTTGCTTTTCTAATTTTGACGTCATTAGGAAATTTGTGGTGAAGAGATTTTTCACAGACTTGTTTAGTGAAATGTGATAAACTGTCTCTAAAACTCTTAGACTTCCTGTATTGCTGAATTTCTTTTCCCTTGCCAGTTTTTTACTTAAAATTAATTAACGTATTAATCGATCAGTGACTCAAACATGTCACATAAACCCTTTTCAAACATACAGAAATCTCCTGAAAAACTCTGGAGATTTGGCTACCCGGAGGTTCTTTAGGCTGTCTGAACGCAAACAGCCGCATTTTTCACGTGGACTTTACCCGGAGTTTCTCTGGCCAGACCTCTAGTATTTTATCCGCAGAATATCCGAGTGAGCTGATGTCTGAACGCAGCAGCATATACTCCGGAGATTTTCAATTCAAGCCAATGGAAAGAGAAAGACGTTTATATATAGTGACTGCCTAAAGTGTCTGCACGCGACCACTACGATCTCCGTGTACGTAATTAAACGGCTGCATTCTGTTTTCTGTTGGTCAGTTTGTTGTTCTCCTCTCTTTTGTGGATGTTGTCATTCCATTGGACTACACATAGCATTGACATAAAGGCAAATATTCTCATTATAACGTTGTGTAGTGGACTCTGTTGCTACGCTACTTGCGCGTTGTTTATTTATGTCACGTCTTACTTCAGGAAATCCCCCGACCCCCCTCCCCTCTGACAGGGAAAGTCTCCTGCTGTGAGGAGCATATGTGAACGGCTAGGTCAGGAGCATCTCCGGAGAAGTCCTCCTGCAATTATCTAGATATTATCCGGAGTGCATATGTGAAAACGGCTACAGATAAGCATTAAAACAAATCCAAGAAGTAATGTTTGCAGTAAGTTTGCCCCCTGGTGGTGATCATTTGTATCACACTTAATTTACATATTGTGTAGTTAATATGCAAGGTGAGTAAATATGTGATTTATTTCAATTTCTTACTTATTTATTTATGTATTTAAACTATTTTTGTTTGTATTTTCATTTTGTAATGTTTGTATTTCATTATTTCACAAGTGTTTAATGTGTTTTATTTGTATTTATTATTTATTTATGACGCATTTATTAATTCATTTATTTATTCTTTTGTATTTTTTGTATCTATTATGTATTTATTTTATTTTATCAATAAATCTTTATTTGATTTTGATGTATCTTATTTTTTAATTAATTTCTTATTTAGCATTCATTTATTCGGCTGTATTTGTTTAATTGTACTTTTTGTTTCTTATTTGTTTACTTTTTTAAGTGTATTATGTTTGAATTAATTAATTTTTAAAGATATTTTTTAATTGTAAATACTGGCAGATAAAAGTGGCCCTTTAAAAAACGTACCAAAATCAATTGAAACTCTTAACTGTCGGTGTCCCGCCTTTACCGGACCCTCGAGAGCTCACGGACACGAACGAACTGTTTCCGGTCACATATTTCGCACCGCTCCACATTGTACGCGACACCGGAAGTTACTGTACCTAAGACGTATAATTTTCGCCCGCGGCTCTGTCTTACAGGCAGACCAGGCACCGTGAAGTGTAAATGCCAACGAAACCAAAAAATCTAAAATAAGTATAAAATCTCTATGTAATGATTACTTGTGTAAAGAATGTGTGATTAGCTTACTTTTCTGACAGTTTCCATCGCACGCATTTGCTTCCGGCGTAGCAAATACGCCAACGCCGCCTCCCGTAAGACCGAGCTGAGGGAGAAAACGACACCAGGGCAGGATAGCGTTTCCATTATGTTCAGCTTTTCATGCTGTCAGAAGCTGCCATCCTTCTCTCTGTCTTACTACCGTAGAAATAAAAATAAGACTACATAATTAGGAGCATAATGTAGTTAACAATCAACAGAATCAAGTTCTGTCATCATGTTGCTGAGCTAACGTCAGCTACGAGGCTAGCTAGGTTACTTTGACAATCCTTTTTAAGTTGCTAGCTGACAGGTTAGCTTACCGCGGCTAACTCCGCTATGTGAACTCACTCAGAGGCGATAAACGAACTCCCTGCAACTCTCAGCTGGGTGAGTCCATACATCATTATCATCATATTTAAAAGGAGATATTGTAATGGGTCTCTGTCGGTTTCTGTCCCAGCTAAAGGGCTGTATGTGTTAAACACCTTCTCTGAAGTTGCTAACTAGCCAGGTGGCTAACTTAGATAAGAAAGGTAGAGAAACAGTTGCTGGTTAAAGTTAAACCTCCTGACGAGTTATTTTACTAATAAGACTTATAATCACTTAACTAGCAGGTTAATATGGATTTTAATCAGCTAATGTAAAGCCATGTGAGCCGGTATAAGACAGATGTTACTGCTGATTCATTACTTGTGTCTTTACATGTTCTCTAACTTATATATTTTTTAAAGCTTTATTGTGTCAGTCAATGTTATTAGTGCAAAATCAAAAAAACTTCTGTTGCCTGGGAGTAGAGGATTGTTTTGAAATTGGCATAAACCCCAGAAGAGGAGCAGACTTTAGGCTGAGACAAATGCATGAATCAAATATAAATTGTGTGCTACTTTTTTTAAAGGAGCAATATGTAACTCTGACACCTAGTGTTTAAAATGGGTACTGCAGTCTAAATTCTAAACATTGTAGAGAGCTGTCTCCCCCCGCCCCCTCCTCTCTAGAGTCTATGCTCACGCAGGTCACCATGTGGTGGACACTGAAGCTTCAGTGTTTATCCAGCTCTGCATCGGTCTGTAAACCTTTCTGTGTTCTAACCTCTCTCCATTTTTCAAAAGCATCTCCAATATTGATCCTAGTTTGAGCACGTTTCTGCTCGTGGAGCTTATTAGAAACATGCAGAGGCTTTTTAGGTCGAGTACAATCACTTCTATCTGAACCACTTCTCTTGCCCGCTTCCATCACTGCAACACCTGTTGGTTTGACCTGATAACTGCTCTCATATCTGGCAAACTGAGGGGCGTCCAAAACGGCCGTGTGGGGGTGTCTTAAAACCGCCTACCTTCTCTGGTCCAAACAAATCCAGATCATTCAGGACCAGAATCTAAAGTTAGAAGGAGGACATACTGGCTGCTGCATTGTTGTCAGAGAAGCCAGCACTTCAACATAGCATGTTTCCTTAATGTCTGATCATATAGTAAGGTCACTTTATCATTTCATTTACTACAGAACTTACTGATTGATCCTTTAACGAGTCAGTGGAACATTAATCAGCTGGCCTGGAGTCTTTCAATCATGTGTCCGGGCCAGCAGGCCAGTTTTAATGTCGAGCCCTGTAACATCTTGTTTATTTAGAAGCCAAAGATACTCTGTGCACCGTTAACATCTGGTATTCTTCCTCACTCCTGCAGGTGTTGCAGGTCGCTCTCATGTGCCCATGGAGAAGGTGGCCTTTGAGGGGTGGCTGGAGTCAATCTCCACCACTTTCCTTACTCTGAATGACCAGCAGAGGAACCAGTCTCTGGACCACCTCATCTCTCTGAGCGGTGCTGTTCAGCTCCGTCACCTGTCCAATGGGCTGGAGACGCTGCTCAAACGGGACTTCCTGCGCCTCCTTCCTCTGGAGCTGGCCTTCTACCTGATGCGCTGGCTCGACCCTGAGACCCTGCTCATCTGCTGCCGCGTCTGCAAACAGTGGAATAAGGTAAATATCAGGCCGCCTGGAATCATGGGCTTGCTTCCATGTGGCTGGTTGTCAGCCCTGTGATTGGCTGGGGAACAGTCCAGAGTGTATCCCCGCCTCTCACCCAATGGCAGCTGGGATTGGCTCCAGCTTCTTGCGACCCCAAACAGGAAAAGCGGTATAGATTTGCTGATATTCTCCTCAGATATGATGTCAAGGCTCTGAGTATCGTCCCTGTTTTACAGTCATGGAGGCTTCTTGGAGAGCCAGGTGAAAGATGGATGAATGTTCCTCACTGCTGAGCTTCATGTTAGTCGTCTTATTTTGAGATTTAGCTCCTCTGAAGCATTTGAGCTTTGTCTTTCCTGATATAGTGCCAATGTGATATTTTTCCAAAATGAACCCTCCCGGATTTAAAACAGAAATGCTGCCAGAACTGGAATTTTTGGAGCAAGAGAGAGAACAGAAAAAAACCAGGAAACATTGATAAATCACGAAGACTGTATGGGACTAATATTTTCACTGAAGATGCACGAGTTGTAATTTCTTTGTTCCGTTCTGATTTCTGACCGTTCAAGGTCTGACCTGATTGTCTATCCTGAAAGGACTAGAGGTATTCAAACAGCTCTTATTGATGTCTGCATATGACCGTCTTTCTCTCTTGTTGCTTTCAGTAACTCGTCAATAAATCTGATCATAGAAACAGAGGAGTTTACAGCTTCCCTCTCACCGGCTCTATTCTCCTGAAGGAATCAATCACCCTCATTAGTTTCTATTGAATTAGGCGATTGTTTGCAGTCTCACCTGTCGGCCCCTCTGTCTGTCTGTAAACGTTGTTTGCAGCTACATAGAGTTTACTTTGGATATTTTTAAGCCTTTATTGGAGAGACAGGACCGTGGATACAATCAGAAATCAGAGACAGAGAGAGCCACAGGTCCGACTCGACCACAGAGAGCTGGCTTGAGGACTGTAGCTTCTGTACATGGGGCACATGAACTAACCACTCGGCCCTGCAAAGAGATTGTATCTTGTTTTATGTCCATCAATGATCGATATGCATTCATCTATAAATTCCCTGTGAAGTGATACATCTCACCGCAGGTCAAACTTTTATTCACCTGCTCACATGCTGAGTTTTTATAACACAACCGAAGAAGGCAGGGGGTTACTCTCATGCAAGAGGAGGAAGTGTTGGGATACAATCTCTGATAGGTCAAGGCTGTTCTTACCTCTGCTGAGGGGCACCTAACGTCCACACTGCGGACATGTTTGTGTGTCTGTGTGTATGGCACAAGAGACCTGTGGCTTGTGTCTAAAATTGGCTTCGAATCGGATATATTTGAGGAGTGGCCGGTCACCAATCACAGCTGAAAACAGGCTGTAAATCATCCGAGTCTAATTTTCACATTTTGCTCCTGAGTTCGGTAAAATGTTTTGAGATTTTTTGCGGCTGAAATGTGACTGAGATCATCTTTAGTTAAGAAAAAGGAGGTTGAAAAACATTAGAAATGTTCCACAGTTGCAGGACGTTCACATAGAATTCTGATCTACATGTAGAGTAATGATGCTCAACATTATTTAAAAGCGTTTCCTGGTCTGTAGATCAGCTCACAGTGATATCACTGAAGAACCCGTGATTGTCCTCGTGTGAAGGTTTAAAGCGTCCCTCTCCTCTCAGGTCATCAGCTCGTGCCCTGAGGTGTGGCAGGGTGTGTGTCGGGAGCTCGGCTGGAGGATCGACGAGTCCATCCAGGACGCCACTCACTGGAAGGGGATCTACTTGAAGGCCAGACTGAGGATGACGCAGCTGAAGGACCAGGAGGCCTTCGAGACGTCGTCCCTCATCGGACACAGTGCTCGAGTGTACGCCCTCTACTACAAGGACGGACTCCTCTGCACAGGTCTGCCACCCACAAACATGCTATACGTTCTTTAACCCGTGACAGTGTGAGGTTACAGCGTGAATATGGACATCTTCTTCTCTCTCAGGATCTGATGACCTCTCTGCCAAACTTTGGGACGTACGTACCGGCCAGTGCATTTACGGGATCCAGACTCACACCTGTGCCACAGTGAAGTTTGATGAGCAGAAGCTGGTGACCGGCTCCTTCGACAACACTATTGCATGCTGGGAGTGGAGCTCCGGTGCTAAAATCCAGCAGTTTAGAGGCCACACAGGAGCAGGTAGGTACACATGTTCATTTGTTCTGGGTTACTTTGTGCATCCCAACGTAGAGGACGCCTGGGAGGCTACAGGCTCTGACGGTTTTATCGTTTAAAACACTCTTATGTTTGAAAAAAACATGACTTAATCACATGACGTTTGCATGTTCTGATTTTTAAAAAGAAAGTGTCTTAACGATGTGTGTTTGTGTGCACTCAGTGTTCAGTGTGGACTATAACGATGAGCTGGACCTGCTGGTCAGCGGTTCTGCGGACTTCTCTGTGAAGGTGTGGGCGCTGTCGGCTGGGGCGTGTCTCAATACTCTAACCGGACAAACCGAGTGGGTCACCAAGGTCGGACCACGTTACAAGAGTTTAAAGTTATTTGTGTGTTTTTGAAATATCTGTTAAACAGTTATTTAAAATGTGTTTATGTCCCATCAGGTGATTCTACAGCAGAGTGAGGTGGAGTCTATGCTGCACAGTCCGGGGGATTACATCCTCCTTAGTGCTGATAAATATGAAATAAAGGTAAAGCTCCTCTCTCTCTCTTTCTTTTTGTGTCGGTGTTGTAGTACCTAAAGAGGCCACCAGATGGTGCTCACACTGTGTTCCCTCTGCAGGTCTGGCCTTTAGGCAGAGAGGTAAACTGCAAGTGTTTGAAGACTCTGTCGGTGTCGGAGGATCGCAGCATCAGCCTGCAGCCTCGTCTTCAGTTTGACGGGAAATACATCGTCTGCAGCTCCGACCTCGGGGTCTACCAGTGGGACTTCGCCAGCTTTGAGATTCTCAGGTACAAAACGAAGCATGACAGGGATGATTTATAACAATGAAGCCCAAAATAATTTACCTGTGGAATTCACACAGCTCATTTGTGTTGATGACTATTCGTGCTTTCACACCTGCACAAAACCTGAAGTTTTCCCTGTGATCGCTGCACGACCATAGACTGCACGCCACCTCTACCATCTCCGTGCTCTAATGAACCTGCTGCTGCATGTTTCCTGTTCTCCAGTATGTTCTCCTCCACTCTTTAGTTCACATTGAGATTCTGTTCCACTACACGTAGCTTTGATAGAAAGACACATATTCTCATTATAGAGTCATTTAGAGGACTCTGCTGCTTCATCCACATCGTTCTTTTTACGTCACGTCTTACTACAGCCCCCACCCCTCCCCTCCTGTCTGACAGGGATAATCTCCAGCAGTGAGGAGCATGTGTGAACAACCAGATCAGGAAGTTTTCAGGGGCAGTCGTCCTGAAAGTCTCTATAGAGATGTTCAGGAGTTCATGTGTGAGAAAAGCTTTTGTCCAAATCTTAAATAGTTGCCAATTTTCCACGGCTTTGATCTTATCGGCTCACTGGTGGTCGAAATAGGTCTCCAATTGGATCTGCTTAACTTAAAGTTCAAACTTTAACTTGGGGGACCTGCAGAAACATTGCATTTTGTTTCAGTCCATGATATCCATGGCAACAGTAAGTCCACCTTCAGCAGTGTGACGTTTATTTTAACCCTTTTTCTTCAAAATTTTTGTTTGATACGACTTGTTATTTCACCCAGAGGATTTGTCATAGTCAGTGAGTTTGTCCGTTCATCCAGCTCTTCTTTGTCTTGTCCTTAGGGTGATAAAGACACAGGACCCAGCTAACCTGTCCCTGCTGAGTTTCGGCGAGGTCTTTGCGCTCCTCTTCGATAATCACTTTCTGTACGTGATGGACCTGAGGACTGAGGCGATCTCGGGACGCTGGCCTCTGCCAGCCTACAGAAAGTCCAAACGAGGGTCCAGCTTCCTGGCCGGGGTGACGTCGTGGCTGAACGGCCTGGACGGGGACAATGACTCTGGACTGGTGTTTGCCACCAGCATGCCCGACCATAGCATTCACTTAGTCCTGTGGAGGGAGAACGGATAGAGGAGGGGGACACGAGCCGCCATGATGGGTGCTCCAAACAGCCAAGATACACAATGCATGGACCAAAGCATTTTGTTTTTATCTGTTTCTTCCTCAGCATACAATCCTCCTCCTCTCACAAACACACACTCACAGACTGAGAAAGAAGGGGAAACTATCGCTCTGGATTCTTCAGAAAAGTAAAGCTCTCTGCGGTCTTCTGACGGCGGGCAGAGACGGAAGCCAACATGTGTCAGTGGCAACTAAAGAATCTGTCAAAAATAAACACAACCGTAGAAGCTCTGGTGTGAGAATCTAAAGGGTTTATGTTTCTGTCACATCTGCTCTTTGTCAGTGACACAGTTGGAACATGCCGACCTTTCAGTCATCGTCTTGGGGTCAACGTTGGCATCTGACGACGGCGTCACGTGAGCTGTATCTCAAACCTGCATGATGCTAAGCTGCTCACGGAGCAGATCTGCAGAAACATTAAAGGAAGAGAAGAGTCGCCTTAAATATAGACAATGTACATAACGGAGAACGTCTCCTGTGAGGTCAGAGGGTCACGTTAAAGGGGAACTTTAGTATTTTTAAACTAAAACCTTTTTTTTTTCTTCTTCTGGTGTCGAAAAGACTAAAAGGTACAAAAAGTTTCTGAATGTCTCCAGTTGATTTGTTCATCCTGTAGGAGGTGAACAGGCCGTTTGTGTCTGTACCCTAAATATGTAAATGAGCTGTGTCTGACCACGCCCCCTCTCTGGAAGGGCTTGTGTGTCTCGGGCTTTCTCGCTCCATGTCCTATTGTTTATGGTGAGAAGGCAGACTCAGAGGGCAGAACAAACACCTAGCTGTGGGAGTGTCACCCACCTGGGGGAGGGGTTACTGCCCTTTGTGATGTCACGAAGGGAAAATCGCCAAACAGCCTGTTTGAGCACACATTTTATGAAAAGTGGAGCAGGCAAAAGACTGAGAGGATGGACTTTTCTCATCATTGGGGGGTTTGTAGACAGACTAGAGACACATATTAGAGTTAGAGAAACATGGTGCAGTCGATACAGTCTGTTTACCTGCAGCAGGATGAAGAGATCAACCGGAGACATTCACATCTTTATGTTCTTATTATTCATGTAGACCCTAAAAGAAGTAAAACCAGGTCCAGAGTTTAAACAGTACCTCCGCTCCCCTTTAAAGGAGGTGTCCCTGAGGGCGTTTCAGACGGTCTGCAGTGACCCGGGTGCTGAGGTGGTTTTGGTACATTGTTGTGTACAATGTAAAACTTTGTGAGGTTTCATGTAATTGCAGAATCTGCTTTTTCTACAGGATGTGTGGTTTAAACGTGGGCTTGAGAAAATGTGATGTGCCTTTTTCAGTTGGTTTGATGTTACAAACTAGAATTCCTCGGCACGTTGCAGTGAGCTGCTGCATTGTAACTTACATTCATGTTTTTTCATATATTTACTGTGCTCTAACAGTCCAGGATGTCTGTACTTTTATAGTTCTCTTCCTGACAGTGACTTGCTTTTATGAATCGTCGACTGTGTGAAAACATCAGGGTTAGTTTTCTTAACTACTCGATGCGTTGCGCAGCTGAGGGAGCGACAAACGGACGGTCTGCTTTGTGCAAAAATAATAAAAACTATTATTTCAGACTGAAATTTGAAACCTGACAATTCAACTTCTACAAACGTGAACGTTTGCTTTCCCATATTCTTCATTGACGTCTTCCTGTACATCAAACCTCATCACTAAAAGGTGAGTTTGCACTACAGACACACAGCAGCAGATTTACAGACTGTCACTTCAGGTGTTCGAGTCCAGTAGATTCTGTCTGCAGCTCCAAGTTCAAATTAAAAAACCTGATTTGTACATGAAGTGACAAAGTAAAACGGGACGTAAAGCTGGATTGCATTGAATCACTGCACACTGGTATTTCTCACACTCTTCTATTGCGTCACCTGCATCGGTCTACAATCAGCTCAATACTGCAGACTTTCAATAAATACAGCAAATGCACCGATGTTTGTCTCTGTGTTTGATCATGTCATCAGTTAAAGGTTTTAAGACACCCCCACACGGCCGTTTTGGACGCCCCTCGGTTTGCCAGATATGAGAGCAGTTATCAGGTCAAACCAACAGGTGTTGCAGCGATGGAAGCGGGCAAGAGAACTGGTTCAGATAGAAGTGATTGTACCCGACCTAAAAAGCCTCTGCATGTTTCTAATAAGCTCCACGAGCAGAAACGTGCTCAAACTAGGATCAATATTGGAGATGCTTTTGAAAAATGGAGAGAGGTTAGAACACAAAGGTTTACAGACCGATGCAGAGCTGGATAAACACTGAAGCTTCAGTGTCCACAACATGGCAACCTGTGAGCATTGACTCTAGAGAGGAGGGGAGGAGGCGGGGGGGAGACAGCTCTCTACAATGTTTAGAATTTAGACTGCAGTACCCATTTTAAACACTAGATGTCAGAGTGACATACTGCTCCTTTAAAGATGTGAGTACTGATCCTGATGAATGTTTATTCACATCACACACTAGCAGTAGCTTCAGGGAGCCTCCTGGCAAACAGCTTAGACACACCCCCTTGTGACATCAGCCCCGCCCCTAGTATATGCATAGCTCTTATCCTTCATCAAATCAAAACAGTAGAGTCATCAAAAAAATGAAATTCCCATTGATGTGTTCTGAATGAAATGAGCTAATCAGACCTATTTGGTTTTTTGAACCAGGCTGTAAACATGTTAATCTCTGCTGTAAAAACAGGCTTTTTAGAATGGGTGTGTATGTGACTTCCTGTGCTTCTGCAGCCAGCCTCTAGTGGACACTCAATGAACTGCAGTTTTTTTTGCACTTGCATTTTTCTACAGTGTGCCACTTGGTGTGAGACACAGGTTTGTTTCTAAGTTTCTAAGTTTTAATTCAGACGTCTCTCGATACGTCTCTCAGAACAGACGCTCCACACAATAAACATCACGTCAGAAACTTTCTGTACATACGTTTTTATTCCCAATTCAGAGTCTGAAGCTGAAAAATACAGCGACATGTAGCGATGCCATGGTAAGAAATAAGTTAGCAAAAGAATCACAGACTGATAATCACGACTCGGTGATCTGTTTCACAGTTACAACACTAGAAAGTCTGTACACAAAAACACATGCAGTGTCCCCAAAAAAACACTCAGATTTCATCTGCTCAGAGGATAAAAACTGAAAAAGGTCAAAAAGTCAAAAGCAATACATCATTTGGATTATCGCTCATAAACAAAACACTGATAATAATAGAACAGGGGCATGTCCAGACCTTTTGGACTGAAGGGGCCCAACTGGGGCTCTGACCTGTGCAGGGGGACCTGAAGTTTGTGTGCACACAAAATAAAAGCAGTTTATTTCTGTCTGCACCAATTACATCGACTTTTAAGCAACAAGATAACAACAACATTTAAATCTTCTAAGCTTCATTCTTCAAGCACTCAGAACAAAATGTATGTCCAAAATCACGATTTAAAATATCTGCACACTGCACACTTTGAGCTGCCTGTTGCAACACAGGATTTCAAAATAAGTCCCACCTTTGGCAAGGCACATAGCCAATTATAGTCAAGTGGCCTGGGGTGGCAAATAAGATAAAGGGGGTCCCTGCCACCCCTCTGGACACGCCCCTGATAACGTGAAACTGATTCTGAATTTGGGATTTTTTTCAAGTCAAGCTGCATCTTCACTGATAATGGCTTCATTTGGCTGGTGTGATTACCTGGGGAACAAATAACAAGAAAAAAAAAACATTTTAAACTTTGTCTTCTGTCGTTTCACATTACTGACTCATCAGACGGTCCTCTCTGTGATGCTGCTGATAAATCAGACACTTCACATCCATGAAAGCGTCACTTTAAATGAAGCAGAGCGCTAAATGGAGATAAAAACGATGGCTGTAATCACTTCTTTAAGTCACGCTTATTTTTTTAAAATTCAGGCGGATTTTGGCAAAGACTTTCAGATCTCTTTCAGGGACAGATATTTGACAGGATGTAGTTTCTTTGGCTCTTAATAATTCTCCTTCATTTTGTTTCTTTACCGTTACTTCACTCACAAATCAAGAGACTAAAACCAAACTTCATGACTGTAGACGGTCAGTATCAGACTGACCTAAGGTCGTTAAAACCTTTGATACTTTTCGATACCACTCGTCTGAAAACGACACAATCTGTAACTTTAATGATCGATAGTAATGAAAAGTAAAGAGGCTTTAACAATCTTCAGGAGCCGTGTGCACAAAGCCTCCTAAATACTAAGAGCTGCTAATGTCAAACTAGGATCAATATTGGAGATGCTTTTGAAAAATGGAGAGAGGTTAGAACACAGAAAGGTTTACAGACCCATGCAGAGCTGGATAAACACTGAAGCTTCAGTGTCCACCACATGGTGACCTGAGTGAACATCGACTCTAGATCCTCTCTACAATGTTTTGAATTTTGACTGGCCCAGATCTTCAGTCACATTTTTAACAAAAAGCTGCAAGAGAACGAGATGTGCACAACATTTTGTACTATTGAGATAATGTTCAGAAGTTTACCTGCAATCTTTTGTTAATTAAAAACAAAAATCTCTTCTGTGAATGTATTATAGTTTCGTTGGAGGAGAGTAAAACTTACAGAAGATGAGAAAAGCTGCCCTTTCTCGCTGTAATTAAAACCAAGAAGTGACTCGATATTTGCTGCCTAGGACTCCCAATTTATGTTGCTGTGGTAACCCAACAGCTCAGCGTATCATTCCGTCACCATGACAACCCTAGACTGAACCACAGCGATGACAGAACGATAAACATAGAAACTAAACGAGCCTGTCGCCTGTTTGTGCCACAACGTCACCTCTGATCATAAACAGTAAAATGTGAAGAGAGTTTACAGGTTTGCAGAAGAAGAAAATATCAGATCTGATATTCTGGCTCTGCTCGGCCTCTCAGTGTTGAGATTAGGATTACGTCACAGTAAATGAATGGGATGATGAAATTCAGTAAAATCTAACTTTTAAACATTTCTGTACTGCCCCTCCCTGATGACTGACATCAAACTCGGATTTCAGCTGTTATTTACAAGTCTGTCGGGGTCTGAAAATATTCACTGTGATTAATTACAAAACCGTTTTTGAAGCTCCTGTGAGCAACTTTCAGTTTGAGTTGATTTTGGCGCCCCCTTGTGGACGAAGCAGCAAGTCCTCCCTTAAACTCGTCAAAACACCTTTTCAAACATGAACAAAACTCGTGAAAACCTCCAAGATATTTCCGAGGTGTGCTACATGTTTGAAAGCACAAGATGCACAGGTGTTGGTTTAATCCCCGAACAAGACGTTATGAGAACTTGGCGAGAATTGACCGGAACCTGCAGACGTATCAGAGCAAAGCATGGAGCAACGTTTTAGGACACGCCCACCCCGGCAGCTCTTTCAAGGACACGCCCACCCGGAAACTCACTCAAATGTCCCTGCGACAGCAAACAGAGCTGGCCAATCAGAGGAGAGTGGGCACCTGGGGAGGCGGGGCCTTAAAGAGACAGTCGCTGAAATGAGAGATTTTACTGACGGCAGTATCAGATAAATAAGGAGCTTTTTTTGAGTGACACATCTCACAACGCTGCTCAACAGCTGACCCAGAGTGACAACATTAATGTTTAGAGCTAAATAGATCTCCTTTAATAATCAAACACAGCAGCGTGATTCAAAGAGGGTGAAACTGTTCAGTTAAATTATCTTTGTTTCAACAGGCCTCATCTCGTCCATGTTCCCCTTCGTTTCATCTTCAGTTATCACCTTCGAGGTCGTCTAACAGAACCTTCAGGACACATTTTGATAATACTTTAGAAAAAAAATAAAAATCACGACCGTTTTACTCAAAACATGTCGTTCAGAATAACACATGAATTACTCCTGGAAACTAAACGATGACAAACGATGACATCATGCCTAAATATATATATTTTTTACCATCTTTACGACTGATTTCATAAACCACATTAACCATGAATTACAACAGGAAACTATAGAAATATGACTTTCTATTTATGGCCATCTAGTAGTTTTAAAATACTTACAGTACAGAGGATGATTCCACTTTTTACAGCTCAGATCTTTTTTACTACCTGTAGTCGCCTCCGCTGAACAAAGATGATTTAATATAAAGTAAAAAAGAGATCTGGGAACAAGGGCGGGTGAGTCTCTCTGCTCACCTCCTCTACTCACTTTAACTGAGGAGTCACTCCACAAGCTTTATTTACTCAACTGTATACCTTTGTCAGATATGAGAGCAGTTATCAGGTCAAACCAACAGGTGTTGCAGTGATGGAAGCGGGCAAGAGAAGTGGTTCAGATAGAAGTGATTGTACTCGACCTAAAAAGCCTCTGCATGTTTCTAATAAGCTCCACGAGCAGAAACGTGCTCAAACTAGGATCAATATTGGAGATGCTTTTGAAAAATGGAGAGAGGTTAGAACACAGAAAGGTTTACAGACCGATGCAGAGCTGGATAAACACTGAAGCTTCAGTGTCCACCACATGGCGACCTGTGTGAGCATCGACTCTAGAGAGGAGGGGGAGGGAGAGACAGCTCTGTTCAGTAAGTTGAATTTGGACTGCAGTACCCGTTTTAAACACTAGGTGTCAGAGTTACATATTGCTCCTTTAAGGTAGATTTGTTCCCAGATCTCACTCTTTTTCTTTGAGCATAAAGGTTTTTCACTGATAAGAAAAATGAACTAAAATGACGTCCAATAGGAGCTGTGATGAAGCAGAATCATCCTCAGATTCCAACAGAAGATGGAGCTTTGAAAGCAGATTATTAACAGTGCAGGTGCTGATGGCGTCAACAGTCCTTCAGGGTTTAGTTTTAGGGTGTCTTTCACCGCCAGTCTGTGTGAGGAGCAGCTTCTTCTGCAGCTGAATCAAAGAGGATCCATCGTACCATTTCCCTTTTTTTTTTTTTATGGCCGACAGTTTTAAAAAATAAACTCTTTTACAAATAAATACACTATTTACACGCACGCACGCACGCACACACGCACATGTAGGATAGTTGAAAACTTCATTATGACTTTAAATTCACTGAGAAGACGAGAGGACAGCTCGCTCATCATCTCATCAGATCCTTTTTTTCAGCTTTGTTCTGTACAAAATTTTAATCTGTAAACGTGGTATGTACATGAACAAACAGCTTTACAGGAGGACTACCAGCTGAGGTAGTGATGGGGGGGAGGGGAGGGGGGTCTTCATCAGGATATACTGTTTCTGTACAACAACAGATACTCTTTTTTTATTTTTTAACAAGCTCAGTCCAGCTGTGGCTCACAGGGCTGATCCTCACTCTTCTTCTCTTCGTCCTGATGTTTAGATGCAGAGAATCGCAGCAGTAGTTTCACAGATTCAAACACTCCCAGGAGGCCGTTCATCGGCGCTCAACGTCACCAGCGCTCGCCCAACACTTGGTCCGGTTCTGTACTCTCTCTCTCTTCTGTTGCAGAAAACCCAACATGGGCCGTAAATCCACGCACGTTCACATGTTTGTAGCAGCTTAAAGAATAAAAAAAAGACGCACAACATCATCAAACCTTCGGCCGACCTCTTTGTAGAGTTTATATTGGTCTTCATCCAGGGGTGAGGAAGGCGTCAGGTCTGATGGCGTGCATAGTCACACGTCCAGTTTCTTTATCATCTACGTTTAAAGTCGTCCGTGTTCAGTCATTCGGTCGATTCTTCCCAAACTGACGGTTTGGCACGTTGACATCCTGCTGGCTCAGTCTGCTCTCATTCAAACGACATGAGGTTGGCTGGTATCTGCATACAGAGCACAACAGGAAGTAGTTTAATGTCAATAAAAACAACATTTAAAAGTGACAAGAAAGACGATAAAATACAGCAGAGGAAGTTGGAGCAAGAAGCTGGAGCAGATCGAGCGGGACAGGAAGTCAGACACCGAAACAACATTAAAACATTGGTTTATTTTCAAAATATAAGACTCCGTTTTGACGGTTCAGAACAATGACCGATGTTCGTTTGTTGTTGTGTTTATAAGGGATTTAAAAACCACAGTCATGATATTTTCTCGAGCTGTCCTGAGTGATTTCTCGGGAACTCCTCGGTCTCAGTTCTGCTCAGTGCTCCGAGAACACCGCCTGTGGGAACGAGGATGCACGGAGCCATAACAGAGCACACAATGCACATGTACCTGGTGGAAGTTCTGGGTAATTTCTCTGAGTCTTATCTGAACTCATCCGATCACACACACTGAGACATCTCTGCAGCCAAACCAGGTGTGTGTGTGAGTGTGTGTGTGTGTGTGAGTGTGAGTGTGAGTGTGAGTGTGAGTGTGTGTGTGTGTGTGTGTGTGTGTGCTGAGCGTACCTGAGGTCTGCTGCTCCGACACGCCTCCTCCAGGTTTTTGTGCCAGATGATGGCCGAGAACCTGGATCCAGTCTGGAACTTGTAAACATTACCTGTGAAGAGGTGACACCTGTGTTATTATCTGAGCTGTGTGTGTGTGTGTGTGTGTGTGTGTGTGCAGCTCACCTTTATCCGGGTCGTTGAGCTGGAAGATGTTGGGTCTGGCCGGGTCGTCTGGCAGCACCACCATCCAGCCGGTCACACACACCTTCTTACAGGGACTGGACTTATACTGAGAGAGAGAGAGAGAGAGAGAGAGAGAGAGAGAGAGAGAGAGAGAGAGACAGAGAGAGAGAGAGAGACAGAGAGAGGGAGAGACAGAGAGAGGGAGAGAGGGAGAGAGAGGGAGAGAGAGGGAGAGAGAGAGACATAGAGAGAGAGAGGGAGAGAGAGGGAGAGGGAGAGAGAGACAGCGAGAGAGAGAGACAGAGAGAGAGAGAGACAGAGAGAGAGAGACAGAGAGAGAGAGTGAGAGAGAGGAGAGAGAGAGAGAGTGAGACAGAGGGAGAGAGAGACAGAGAGAGGGAGAGAGAGAGAGAGAGAGAGACAGAGAGAGAGAGAGAGACAGAGAGACAGAGACAGCGAGAGAGAGAGACAGAGAGAGAGGGAGAGAGAGAGAGAGAGTGAGAGAGTGAGACAGAGGGAGAGAGAGACAGAGAGAGGGAGAGAGAGACAGAGAGAGAGAGACAGAGAGAGAGACAGAGAGAGAGAGAGGATCAGATCAGAGTGATGAAGACCCTCCTCATCAGTCTGTGTGTTTCAGCTGCGTCCTCTCAGACTGCTTTATAAACACGTCAGTAAGTAACATTTCTCTGATCTGAAACTTCCTCTTACAAAATGTGTGATCTTTCAAACACACACTAAACTTCTGAAATCACCCAAACTAGACCTAGAATTTCTGCTGCCAGCCCCCGACTAAACTTTAAACAATAAGTCGGAGTGAACATTCACCTTTTTCTCCTTCTTCTTCTCTGTCTTCTAATTTATCTTGTCCTTCCTCTCCTCATTCATCTCCTTCCTCTTCTCCTTTCTGTTTGCCTTCTCCTTCTAATCCTTCCTCTCCTCCCTTTCTTCTTCTCCTTTCCTTCCTCTCCTCCTCCTTCCTTCTTCTCCTTTTCCTGCCTCCCCTCCTCCTTCCTCCCCTCCTTCCTTCTCCTCCTTTCCTCATCCTTCCTTCTTCTCCTTTCCTTTCTCTCCTCATCCTTCCTCTCCTCTTCATCCTACTTCTCCTTTCCTTCCTCTCCTCCTCATCCTTCTTCTCCTTTCCTTCCTCTCCACCTCATCCTTCTTGTCCTTTCCTTCCTTTCATCCTTCCTTCTCCTTTGCTTTCTCTCCTCATCCTTCCTTCTCCTTTCTCCCCTCATCCTTCCTTCTCCTTATCCTTCCTTCTCCTTTCTCCCCTCATCCTTCCTTCTCCTTATCCTTCCTTCTCCTTTCTCCCCTCATCCTTCCTTCTCCTTTCTCTCCTCATCCTTCCTCTCCTCCTCATCCTTCTTCTCCTTTCCTTTCTCTCCTCATCCTTCCTTCTCCTCCTCATCCTTCCTTCTCCTTTCCTTTCTCTCCTCATCCTTCTCCTTTCTCTCCTCATCCTTCCTCTCCTCCTCATCCTTCTTTTCCTTTCCTTCATCTCCTTTGTTGAGTGTTTGTGAAACTATTCATGCCTCATCACCTCTCTCAGAATGACGTGATTTCAGTTCAAGGTTTTTCAAAGCTCTGCAGTGAAGTTGAAATTTCTCTCTTAACTGGGCGACAGTTTAAATCTGCAGCGAGGCGTTTTATCATCTCTAACTCACATGCTTCCTCTCGGAGGCTCTCAGGGATTTGGCTCCGTAGAAGGTCAGCGTAGATCCAGACAGACAGATCCAGAACCTGGTCCAGGACGACAGCTGACCCCAGGAAACACAAACACACCTGAGTAAGACATTTTCACCTCACACGATAAAACAAACACATCAGGTTATAGATCGTCTCACCCGCGGCTTACGTCCCTCCTTCAGCAGCGTTTTCCTCCTCAGAGGTCCTTCGATGGTCACGCTGCCCGCCTCGCAGCAGCCGTAACACGAGGTGGCAGCAGACGAGCTGCGGGGGGGGGGAGGAGCCTGTTAGTCTGTGATTTGTAGCAAAGCGTTATAATCACTAAATAACAAGCTGTTTGTGCAGCTTATCTCACGGTTAGCAGCACAATATGTCACTTTACCACAGAAGAAGAAAGTGAACGACACTCAGGGGGGATTAGCAGGAAAACGCAGAAGAAGCCGAGTGGAATGAAGTCCACTCAGCGGGGAATGACGGAGACAGAAAATCTGATTTGTACAGAGCGAGCATGCAGGAGAGAAACTCAGTGTTTACCTGACACACACACACACACACACACACACACACACAGGAAGCACATACACACACACACACACCTGTGCACGGTGTCAAGCCCTAATCACACTGCCGCCATGTTTACGCCCCATGACGCTTCCTCTTTAACACACAGAGACGTAGCAGGAGACGAGGTCACACCTCTGAGCCGCCATCGGATGTAGTAACAGAGGCGATACAGACGGGATGAGCAGAGAAGAGCGCTGTGTGTGTGTGTGTGTGTGTGTGTGTGTGTGTGTGTGTGTGTGACTGCGTGTGTGTGTGTGTGTATGTGTGTGTGTGTGTGTGACTGCGTGTGTGTGTGTCTGTGTGTGTCTGTGTGTCTCCATGTGTGTGGAGCCTGCGTTGTTTCTCTTCACGTTGTGTGTCTGTAACGCGATGTGAACACAGACGGGGTCAACACTGCAGAATCAATATGACGTTACGCAGACGGGATGACGGCGCCGCTCACTCTGACTACAAGCAGAAACCAGAACCCGTCACTCGGGAATATGGCGTCCATGCAGCGCTGTATTTCTTCCCACTTTAAAGGGTTAATTCTGTGTTTTTTGAAGGTGTTATGTTACGGCCCCGTGTCCACCTGGCTTCTTTTTTTTTTTTTTTTTTTTTTTTTTAACGGTAGCGTCTTTTTAAAATAGTTTTCAATGAGTAGAGAGCGCTTGTAGCAGAAAACAAACACCTGGAGGAAAAGCGCAGCGCCCAGCTTCTTTTTTTTTTTCGAGCACTCCACCTTTTTTTGTGCGGCCGCTCCGAGCGCTCCAGTTGAAAATATTTCAACTTTTGAGAAAGGCGCTGTCGACATCACGGGTGCTCTTTTCAAATTGTTTGATATTCCCCAATCTCAAATATAAAGCATGCAGTAAAAAGTAACGGAGCAGTGTCGGTCATACGGCGGCTGTTGGTAACAGACTGTTGTCATAGCGACAGGACGAACATGCAGACAACGCTTCATGCAAACACTCCCGAGCGCACAGTCAGCGCTTTTCTGGACAAAACGCCATGTGAACACGGGGCATTAGTGAATCATCAGCAGGAGAGGGCGGTCAGCTGACTGTCGGCGGTGTGTCGCTGCGTCCCTCAGAGAAATGAACGCCTCTGTCACTACACACACACACACACACAGCGGGATAAAGAGCCCGCCTCCTCCTGGTTACAGAGTGTGTGTCGGCATGCAGTGAGCGGATGAAGTGACAGAACACAGAGGTAACGTTCAGGCGAGCTCCTCCCTCCTCACTGTACCTGTAAACATAGCTGCGGCTCCGCGGCGAGTTTCGGAGTGGGACCCTCCAGTTGGGGCCCAGAGTGGCATACATGCGGCCCCTGTTTGTCACACATGTCACAGTCAGTCTGATTGGACGGGACACTGCTCAGTGAGTCCCACATGAGTCTGCTTAATCTGTCTCTTATCAATATGAATAAAGTGTGTTTCTCCTCTCGTCTCTCGGGGACAAACACAGATACACAGTAAACCTGACAGGATGTTAGCAACATTCAAAGACATTTAAATCATCGCTTCATCAACATGTCGCAGGCTCACAAGTTTACATCGCCTTCTTGTCGTCAACAAATCCCATTTTTAGACTTTAGGAACTTTGGATCCAAATCCTGTTTGTGAGTCTGATCGCACAGACACTGATGTCAAGTTTAAGGTCTAATTCTCCAGACCACTTCATGAAGGTCTCAGTGTAGTCTTGGAGTCTGATGCATTTGTACTCGGTCTCGTCTCGGTCTCAGACCAGGTGGATTCTAAATCAAGACCGGTCAAGACCACCACTGATCGGTTATTTTTCCACTACATTACTGTGATTAGAAGGGAAACGCCTCTTTCTAAAAGAACAAATATTATTCTTATTATTTCCTTTCATGTATAAACATGTATATGTGCAAGAGTGTAAGAGCATGTCAATTTACATATATATATAGGTTTGTTACTTTTTTACATTATTATTGTTTTTTTTATTTTTCATGTGTTTTCTATTTTATTCTCTAATACTTTCTGTTTAGTCGAATATACTGTCTGGCCACTTGGGTTGGGGGGGGTACTGTGTGGGGTATTGAAATTTTCAATGAAGAGTATTAAAAAAAAAAATTAAAAAAAAATAACTTCAGTTCATTTGTAGTTTGGTTTATTCCACAGCTACGACCGCAACCTGTGCCGTGTCAAGTTAGTGACACGGCCTCTAAACACAAGATGAGGATTTTTCAGTGTTATTTATGGTCTTGGTCTTGACCGGGTCTCGATCCCTTTATCGGTCTTGGTCTCGGGTTTGTCTCGGTCTCAGTTAGTTTGGTCTTGACTACAACACTAGTTAATATTCTTGTCGTTGTTATGTTTTTATGTAAACATGTGAACCATCAACCTGCTGAGGGACTACAAATGGAAATGAGCCTGTGGCGTCAATCTGTCATATTTACACGTTAATGTTGATTATTGTGCTCTGTCATTATTTTAAATAAATAAATACATATTCAATGAGACGTCTGTAACGTCTACAGGAGGAACCAGCAGACACAGGACTGAGAGTCGCTGCAGTGATAATAGGCGGACTGACACGGTGAAGATTTTGGTCTTTTTACAGGATTTGTTGACAAACAGAAAATGAAAAACCTTCTCACTGTGA